AAAGTCAGTGTCAAGTCCATTTTAGATTATTTGGGAATAACAAATGACACGCGGTGATTATTACGTAAGAAGTTGAGTGGTCGGAATCCCATCAAAATTCAAATTGTAGTGGATAAACTTCTATAGAGTATTAATCAAGTTGCATCGAGCGTAGGTTATGTATATGATATTATACTGTACTTGTAGAGTCTTCATTTTCATTCACGAGACTTTTAATATTGAATAAATGTATCTAAACATTGAAGTTATTAGCGATTGTAGATATAATTTGGTGCTTAGTAGAACTGATAATTGCTTCTTTTTTCATTCATCTTATGAAGAATTTTATATAATTTTTATTTCAGTTAAAAAAATGCAATCAGACCACTTTGAAATTAAATAATGCAACAGTAAGTCAAAATATAAAACAAGCAAAGAAATATTTTACTCGTTGATACACAATAAAAAGAGGGAGACAATATGGATCCCTGGGGAACACCAGCGCTGATGGTGAAAGATATCCATCGACGACCACTTGCAGGGAACGTTCTAAAGCTGGAGAGCCATTGACAAAAATGATCCGTTAATTTTCATCCGTAATACATTTTTTTTAAGGAAAAAAAACAAACATGTCTCAACTTCAACACGCACACTGGAAAAAAGTACTGGGATTCTACAATAATAGATAATAGTGCACTTACCTAGACTAGCATTTATATTTTCGTTATTAATGTTTGGTCACGCTATTTCCTGTTCGATAATAATACGTAAAAAAGTTTTCGATCGATTATTCAATTATTTAATATATATGTAATCGTTTTTCACAAAAAATGAATGTAGGCTCATCTAAAATTGACTGATTATACTGTTATGACATGAAAGGTAGAATTTGGAACCTTCAACTGAGCTATAGTTCTCTAACTTTTTTATATTAATGTGAGTTTCAAAGCAGTGATGAATCCAGGCTAATCATCAATTCGACGCTCAAGAAAAAAGAAAATGTTTTTCAACAATCTTTCTGATACTTGAAATTTTAGGATTTTCAAGTGTAGACATTTAAAGAATGTAATCAAAACGCAAATGTAGACAGAAATACGATCTGAAATCATGATTTATGATTATAGTTATGATTATTGTATTATTCATTACTCGTGAAAATTAAATTTCAAATCGTTTGAATATTGAGTGTTTAAAAAATAAAAATACTACANCTAAATTTCGACTTTAATCGAAATTGCGACTTATTCTCGAAATTACGACCTTGATCTCTATAGTTCTAGTTAAAAGTCGAAAATTTGAGATTGAAGTCAAAAATTCGAGGTTTAAGTCGTAATTTCTATAATAACGTCAAAATTTCGAGTTTTGAGGTCATAATTTCCAAGAAATTCTCAATAAAAATAGGTACCCCTTCTGCGCTTGTGTGTAGAAAGCAATGAGAATGAAACGGCAATTATTACATTTGGGATTATCAAGTAACCGCTCCTCTCTCTTTGCTCTTTCTTTCTGGCCTGACTCTTAGACCTTCGCTTTCAATTCATATTTTTATGACGGCCTGAATGAGTATTATTCAAGTCAGTGTCGAGCGTTTGACACATAATTTGCATCATAAAATGGTGAACATCCTAATCACCTTTAACTACTGTACAAAAGATGAATTAAAACTCTGTCATCGAAGTTTTTTTACAGTTCAAATTATTCAAGCACTGCCAAGAAAAATGAAGTGTGGGCTTTTAAAAAATGGTTTAAAAGGTATTACAACGATAGGAATTCAAATCTTCTTTCTCCAATAAATTTTTTAGTTTTAAAATATTCCGTGAAGAATGGCTTTCTGGAAATATCGAATGTGATTTTTTTAAATTTTAATCCATAGTTGTTTCGTTCAAACATAACTCTCATATTAGTAAACACTTTATATTGGACAAACGGGAAAAATCTTTTTCCAGAGAATAAAAGAACATAGTAGTACCTAGTTTCTTGAATGTAAAGTCCTATTCCTCATCTACAAACTGTCTTTTGGTACAGGGACATAAATTTAACCACGACCGTGAAGTAATACATTTCAATCAATCAATCAATCAAAATATACTTTATTGTCGAAAAAACTCTTGTTTTGTTGACAAAGTAGAATATACACGTACAGAAATAAAATTTAGGCAAAATACACACAATTATGTAAAATATAAATAAAATAGAATAAAAATAAAAACAAAATTGTTATATAAACAAGCAGTATATGAACATATACATAAATAAAATATCAATCATAAAAAGTTATTTGAACGTTTTGTCAATTTTACGACTTATAATTCAACAGTCTAATCGAGTATGCTATACAATACCCGCAATAAATTACAATTTCACTGGAAGTTGTCATTGTAAAATTCTTGCAAACTATAATAGGGTCTGCTCGCGAGAAGTTTTTTTGTGTATTTTATTAGTCATTATGTAGATAGATGGTTATGTGATTCAAATTGCTATTGTAAAAAGTACAGATTTGATGGAATTCAGTCAGATGAACACACCTGAGGAAGCTATTATATAACGAAACAGGTGTTGCGGTTTTGTTAACTACCCAGTGAAAATCCCACTATTGAATGTTACTTGAATAAGAATACAAAATAAACATTGTACATGTGATGGTCTAGGCTGATTTATTTTTCAAAAACGGTTCAATAGCAAAATAACGATTTCGTGGTTGTGGATCCATTTAAATTTAGTCAGTAGGTCGAAGAAAACTGTGACATTATTGGTTATATATTGCAATGTAGAGTTTTATCAGATAATGTTATATGCTTTGGGATAACAGATAAGTAAGTCGCGGAAATCAATGAGTATACAATTCAAGGTAATGATCACACCATAAATTTAATCCCTCCGTCAAATAAGTCTCATATCATTCAGTTTTTTGCGCAGCTGAATGTTTATTTCGAGGTGAAAGTCATTAATGAAAGATAATAGCAGTAAGTAAGTAGTAGTGAGTGGTATATTCGATCCCCCACTGCAACTCGCAAGAGTTTGTTGTGACTTACATCTATACAAACTCAGCCAAACAAGTCGAGCTTTTTAATGAAGTTGAACTACATCATTCAAACAAGAGTTAGTGTTTTTTTTCGATGTTTTAGAACATGCTCTGGATAATGCATCAGTGATAAACATGAGCTTGCCATATTTTCAATTCTATAGAATTTCAGGTTGTCTTCTCTCATCCTACCGACTGCGCCATGTAGCGCAATGAAATAGCATTATTTTATTTTATTTGTGTATATCGTGAATCTTTTTTTGACGACACTTGTCAACAACATTCTTGACAACCACTACAGCTGTAACATTCGAAGCTTACTTATACTTATATATACAATCATATACTACAAGCTAAGATGGCAAGAGTTCTGCCAAATGCTAAAAACATGTGTATGTCCCGCCACGGGACAGGCATGTTCTCTGCTACCGGGACCTGTATGTCCTTGTGAAGAATAATCCACTCCATAGATGAGGTGACAGCAGAAATGCAACAAGTGCATAAGTTTGTAATACATTTCGCTCTTTTAAATAAAATGCATGCAATCTCCAGAGATCACTAACACCACCAGGAAGTTACTAAGTCACGTGGTGCCTTTCCAATCAGATGCAAGATTGAGGGTTTAAGAGTTGAAAACTCGGCAAATCTTGAGGCAAGTTCAAGCATTTTGCTAGCCCGTTTCGCACTTACTCTGTTTTGACGGTGCAAATGAAGTAGTCATACTTGAAAAGCCTTTTTGATCATATCAGTGATTATCAAAGTTACAATGCGTTTATGAATAATGCCTAATCTCACCTTGATTCAAATTCCTTATATTTTTGGAACTGTATTAATAATCGTAGGAAGACTAATATTATTCCGGAGTTGGTGAATCTTGACACCGAAGCGTATACTGGTTTTGAAATAGTAAATTTGTTTGCAGATTATTTTACAGTGACACACAACTTACATATAACAAAACGCAAAGATAACCTCATATTTAAAGGCATTCGTCAATTCTGTCATTATTTTACTATTTCACTTTCGCTTTCCTCGCTTTCGAGGAAAGCGAAAACAAGAAATCTGTTCCACTGATACTTGAGAGATTTAAAAAACTCGAGCAAGATAAAGACATACATTCGGAGTTTTTAGAAACTAGTTCTATGTTGCTGTATCGCTGATGTTCCAATGTTTTGACAGAATCAGAATCAACGAACTTAGGCGTGCGCAGTGTTATAGAACAGTGCTTTCAAAAAAATGTTCTACAGCACCATCTAGTGGCGAGTTACAGAAAAATTAATAGCCTAAAAACCTTTTCTATGAAAAATTACTTATAGATGTCAAGTTTCATCACTATCGGTTGAGCGATGTAGAAGTTTATCACTTACCAACCAACCAACCAACCAAAAAACCAAGACACTTTGTGTAAAAAGGGGACAATTTAGTCGTCCACTGGGTAGCTAGGTTTGACAGCTGTCTTAACGGAAAATTGTGGGTCCAGCCGGATAGATAAATTTTCTCTGCTGTTATGACAATTAGTGTCATGAAATCCGTAATTACCGGTATGCCTTGTGAAATGAATGTTCATTGAAACTTGTGCAGTTCATAGTGAACACTGGAAAAATATTAGAATCAAAGTCGAACAAACTGAGGAGTGGAAATCAGAACGAATTTGAAGATTACAGAATTAACAAATTTTTCAGAATCCCTTCAAGTTTTTATAACATTTATATTATGGGCTGATTATTGAAAAATTGAAGAGGAAGGTTATTGAAGGTTGCGAGGATGGTTACACTTTCGGATATATGTCCTTTTTCTGCAGTAAAAGTGGCAAAATGACTTCTTGAAAATTCATCTACCTGGAAGTAAATATGATAAGTTGATAACTGTTCTAACAAAATTATTTCATCCGGGTTTACTAATGTTTATTGTACATATTCGATATCTGTGACAATATTATTCCATTATCAATATATTTGGAACCAATCACGACCGTACTTAATGGGTTCTCTCTCGATTTCAGATTGACTTTACTGAAACTCCACCATGCCCGCCAGAGCACCAGAACCAGACCGCCACGTGGGAATCTCCTTCAACGACGACATCGTCATCACAGGCATATCTGGTCGCCTCCCAGAGAGCAACTCCATTGAAGAGTTCAAGCAACAGCTCTTCGATGGCGTCGACCTCGTCACAGACGACCCCAGACGATGGCCGTCGGGTCTCTACGGCCTACCAACACGTACCGGCAAAATCAAGAACCTGCAGTACTTCGACGCCACCTTCTTCGGCGTGCACGCCAAGCAGGCGACCGTGATGGACCCCCAGCTGAGGATGCTGCTCGAGTTGACGTACGAAGCTCTGGTCGATGCAGGAGTGAACCCCGCTGAAGTGAAGGGGTCGAAGACGGGGGTGTTTATCGGGGTGTCGGACAGCGAGTCTTCAGAGTTCTGGACGCAAGATCCAGATCAAGTGAATGGTTATGGACTGACAGGGTGTTGCAGGGCCATGTTCCCCAACAGGATTTCCTACACTTTCGATTTTTCCGGGCCTAGTTACGCCATTGATACGGCTTGTTCTAGCAGTTTGTTTGCATTCCAGCAGGCTGTTACCGCAATCAAAACTGGACAGTGCGACGCGGCTATTGTAGGCGGTGTGAATTTACTCCTCAAGCCGACGTCCTCCCTGCAATTCCACAGATTGAGCATGCTCAGTCCGCAAGGCATGTGCAAAGCCTTTGACGCTTCAGGTAATGGCTACGTAAGATCCGAAGCAGCGGTAGTTGTGTATTTACAAAGGGCCAGCGTTTCCAGGAGAGTATACGCAACGGTTCTAGGCGCCAGGACAAACACTGACGGTAACAAAGAGCAAGGAATCACCTTCCCCTCGGGTGCCATGCAGAACAAGCTCATCAGAGAGGTTTACGACGAAATTGGGATCAAACCCCAAGATGTAGCCTACGTAGAAGCCCACGGCACCGGGACCAAAGTGGGAGACCCTCAAGAGGTGAATTCCATCGCGGATTTCTTCTGCAAAAACCGCAAAGGGCCTCTACTAATCGGATCCGTCAAGAGTAACATGGGTCACTCTGAGCCGGCCTCCGGGCTATGCTCCTTGGCGAAAATAGTGATTGCCATGGAAGCGGGAATGATCCCGCAGAACCTCCACTTCAAGAACCCCAACCCGGACATAGCGGCTCTGAACGACGGACGTTTGAAAGTCGTGGCGAAGAATGAGCCTTGGAACGGCGGAATAGTGGCCATTAACTCCTTTGGATTCGGTGGAGCCAATGCTCATATCGTCCTGAGGTCCAATCCCAAACCCAAAACCATCTGGCCAGTGGGGCCTATCCCCCGAGTGGTTGGTGTCTCCGGAAGAACGCAGGAAGCTGTGCAACATTTCCTCGCAAAAATCCAACAGAACAGGGACGACGAAGAGTTTTTAGCGCTGGTAGATGAAATACACTCCAGAAACGTCAATGGGCATGCCTTCAGAGGGTACGCCGTTCTGAAAGATCAAGCCATCGAGGAGGTTACTCAGATGGCTGGAGACGACAGGCCTATCGCCTTCATTTTCTCCGGCATGGGATCTCAGTGGGCCGGTATGGCGAAGGACTTGATGCAGCTCGATTGTTTCAAGAATTCTATCAAGAAGTGCGCCGATGCTTTGAAGCCACGCGGCGTGAACTTGGAAGATATAATTATTAATGGCACGGAGGCGACGTTCGACAACGTTCTGAATTCTTTCGTTTCGATAGCGGCGATGCAAGTTGCCTTGACGGATGTTTTGAAGATTTTGGGGATTGAACCTGACGTGATTGTGGGTCATTCTGTCGGCGAGCTTGGTAAGTTCAATGTATCACTCGGAGGTTATGCGATATTTATTCGGGAGAACCGCGAAATAGCTTTAGCCTCTAGAGATCTTGTCAGAACACGGTTTCCTCGCTGGAACAAAAATACTATCTCTCGACACGCGCTTCGCTAGCCAAGTCAGCATCATCAGGAGATGTGCAAGAGTCTTAGACAGTCTCAATTATTTTTATCAAACACATGAAATTATGAATAATTCTTTCTTAAAGGTTGCGCCTACGCGGATGGAACATTTACCGTGGAACAAGCAGTTCTCTCAGCCTTCTGCAGAGGCCGCGCTATCCTGGAAAGCAGACTTCCGGCAGGTGCAATGGCCGCGGTCGGTCTATCCTGGGAGGAAGTGAAGAAAAAATGCCCGCCTGAAATTTACCCCGCATGCCACAACAGCGAGGATAGTGTCACCGTGTCGGGACCGCCGGCGGCTATAGAGAAATTCGTTTCCGAACTCCAAGCTCAAGACATTTTTGCCAGAGCGGTCAAAAGTTCCGGCACCGCTTTCCACAGCAAATACGTGGCGGACGCCGGACCGAGGCTGCGTAAAGCATTGGAGGAAATCATCCCCAACCCCAAACCGAGGACGCCCAGGTGGATATCTTCTTCTATCCCGGAATCGGCCTGGAGTTCTCCCATGGCCCAACAGAGTTCCGTCGCCTACCACGTGAACAACTTGCTGTCGCCAGTGCTTTTCCATGGGGCGCTCAAGCACGTTCCAGAGAATGCTATCGTTATCGAAATCGCTCCCACGGGGCTCTTGCAGGCCATTCTGAAGAGGGCGCTAGGACCTAAGGCTACCAATATCAGTTTGGTTAAGCGGGGGCACGCCGATAACATCGAATTCTTGTTGTCCGCCTTGGGAAAGTAAGTAACGAACATTCTTTATTTGTGCCTAGTAGTGTTCCCAAAACTAATTTCCTTCTCCATTCGAAACTGTATTCATGAGATTATTGGGGAATCGCGGAAGCGGTAGTTAGAAACTCAACCGAAGTATCGCTAAAATATATTTGAAAAAATATGTATCGATAAAGAAGAGGAGAGTTACTTCTTCCCTACTCTGTTGCTTCATCATCTTCCAATCAGAGATGGCAAACACTGTCTTCCAGAGGTGTATTCCTAAATTCATCAACTTTACCAAAAAATTGAACATTTTCTAAAATTCATTTAAAATCATTTCAGCAATTACTCAATTTCTTTCGATATAGGTGCCAAATTTGAGATATCTACTTACTCTCTCTGATTTTTGCTCTAAATGATAGTGTCATGCATCAATTACCTAAAATTGAAATGATTGTTTTTGCTGAACTTATCACCTTTGACAGGCTGAAAAATGCTATAGTTTAGGTTGCATGGAACCACGCCTCTCCTTTAAGTGTATCATAATATTTTCTGATAACCCTACTCTTCTGATGGATATTGATCTTTTTTCTAGGATCTATAATGCTGGAGCGCAACCTAAACTTGGCAACCTCTATCACCCAGTTAGCTTCCCAGTAGGAAGAGGTACCCCTATGATCAATTCCATGATCGAATGGGATCATTCGATAGAGTGGTCTGTTGCAAACTTTTCAGGAAAGGGATCCCGATCTGGAGAACTCGTCGTTGATATAGATTTGAGTAAAGAGTCTGATGAATACTTGATTGGACATACCATCGACGGAAGGGTTTTGTTCCCAGCTACAGGATACTTGGTAAGTACAGTTGGTGAAACGGTTCTAGTAGAAACAGTGTTGCCACCCTTGTTATAATAAAATGAATGGTAACATAATTTTGACAGGCAGACTTTCCTCTGCCAGAAACACCGGAACTGCAACATTCTCCTCGATGCGCGATTTATCTACCAAGTTGGCGTATTTAGTCTACTTCGTCTTCACACGAAGCATCGTAATATTCGAACCAATGTACACAGTTTTCGAGTTTATCGCGTTCAGACAGACAGATGCAGTGAAGGCTTTTGTCTTATAGTAGACTAGATTAATTAGTCAACTTGTTTCAGACTCTCGTATGGAAAACATTCGCGAAACTCAGGAACGAAGATTACGAGCAACTGCCAGTGATTATGGAAGATGTACAGTTCCACAGAGCTACAATAATGCCTAAAGAAGGTTCCGTTAAATTTTTGATCAACATATTCGAGGGAACTGGAGAGTTTGAACTCTGCGAAGGGGGATCCGTAGCCGTTACTGGAAAAATCCGCGTGCCCGAAGATGTAACCAAGGAAGCTTTGAACCTGCCCCAACCAGTGATCAGAACCGAAAAAGACGTCCTACCGCTAAACAACGCTGACATATATAAGGAATTACGCCTACGCGGATATGACTATACTGGCATCTTCCGAGGCATAACCGAATCGGATAACCGAGGAACCAGCGGAAAACTCAAATGGGAGAACAACTGGATCAGCTTTATCGATACAATGTTACAATTTTCCATACTCGGTCAAAATACCAAAGAACTTTATTTGCCGACCAGGTTGCAGAGAGCGTTTATCAATCCCAAAGAGCATTTGAGTTTTGCCGATGGGTTACCCGAAGGAGAAAGTAAGTAACTAGTTTTATACCCCACCTAAAAAAACTACTCTGGAAATTAATGTGTTACCACGGCAAAAGAATTTAGGGAATATGCGTCTGGCGCCCAACGTGGGGAACAATTTTTTTCTTTGTATCCTACGAAATTTTCCCTCAGAATTTGAATTAGAAAGCAAAGGTGTCCGAAATATCAAACATGCGTGATTTATCTCGTACATTTGTGCTAGATCTGAACAGGTGAAATTAAGTCAAAGTATTCTTTACGTCTGATGTTGGCTAGAGTATATTATTATTCTTGAACACTTTTGAAATGTTTTTTTTTCTTTAAAATATTGCGTAAATCTTTTTGTATTATGACTTAACATACCGACATGTTTTCTTTGAATGTGTATTTCCGAAAAATAACCTATATTCAGTAGTTACTGACAAAATGATGCATTTTCAGACATCCCAGTCCACATGTACAGAAACATCGGAGTCATCAAATCAGCCGGAATTGAATTGCGAGGAATGAAAGCCAGTTTGGCACCTCGTCGTCAGCAAGCTCAAGCTCCTCCCAAGCTCGAGAAGTACCAGTTCGTGCCTTATGAAAACTCCCAACCGCTAACCGAAGACTCTGACAAAGCTAAAACGCAAGCGCTCACCGTTATCTTGCAGACAGTGATAGAAAACAGCTCTGGAGCGCTGAAGCTGAAAATCGCCGAAGTGGGCACTGACAAACCGATCGAAGCAGTCCTGGCACCTACGATTAAAAACATCATCGAATCGGAACCGATGCTGTCGGCAGATGTCACTGTAGTAACATCGGCTATTGTAGATACGGCAGCCCTAGACGCGAACGAGGTGAAGCACGTCATTCGTGACGTAACGACCAATCCTGTCACGCAAGACGCTCATTTGGTCGTCGTCAGTGACCTCTTAATGTACAACAAGAAGGATGTGCTTGAAAACGCCCTAGCTTCGCTCAAGCCAGGCGGCTTCATCCTGCTGGAGGAGCTCAAGTGCCCAATCGATACGGAAAAATTCGCTGGTTTAGAGATCGTGAGTAAACAGCTGAGCGACATGAAAGTTTACATTCTCCTGCGCAAGCCTATCATGGTACCTGCCGATGCCACCGTCATTCAAGTAACTGAAAATAACTTCTCGTGGGTGGAGCCCCTGAAGGAAACCATGAAACAAGCCGAAACGGACGGAAGGAAGATATACGTATACGTACAAGGAGAAGAGCTTGCCGGTTTGGTCGGGATGGTGAACTGTTTGAAGCAGGAGCCTGGCGGTTCGAACCTGAGATCCATTTTTATCCAAGACGCGAAGGCGCCCAAGTTCACTATTGCGGCTTATGAGAGCCAATTGAGGAAGGATCTAGTTCACAATGTGTTGAAGAATAAAGTTTGGGGTTGCTACCGGCACATTACGTTGGAGCATTATGATGACAGCAGCAAACTTCAGGTTGAACACGCTTATATTAATACCTTAACGAGGGGAGATTTGGCTAGTTTGCGCTGGATTGAAGGTCCGCTTGGATATTACAAGTAATTATTTTTGTTTTATTTCATTAAATTTAATGTTTTTACATTTCTTTCTGCAAGTAGTTCGGCTTTTTTTCATTCCATAAACCGCATATATTTTCGGCATTTTTTATAGAACAAGTGATCTTTTGATGTTGCTCAGTTCATCTGTTTGTTTTCAGGGATGACGACTCGAATACCGAATTATGCCACGTGTACTACGCCCCTCTCAATTTCCGCGACATCATGTTGGCTACGGGCAAACTACCCCCAGATGCTCTTCCAGGCGATCTTGCTGGACAAGACTGCATACTTGGTTTAGAATTCGCCGGGCGCGATTCCAGCGGTAAACGAGTCATGGGTATGGTGGCAGCCAAAAGTCTGGCCACCACGGTATTGGCTGATCCCGGTTTTCTCTGGGAAATACCGGAGAAGTGGAGCATGGAAGAAGCTGCTACGATCCCGGTAGTGTATGGAACGGTAAGTGTTGCTAGTTTTGCGCACTGTTGATTTTTCTTTGAAAATAATGGAAATGGAACTTATCCCATGTGCATTCCCAAGAATCTAACTCAATGACCTTTCCAGCAAATAGAACTGACTTTACCTTCTTTGGAACCGATTCTTCCTTTTCTACACTGATTTAATTATTCTTTCTCTCTTGTGAAGTGACCTTAAACCCATAGTAATATCTTTGCAAAAATTTGACTTTATTGTTGCTGAATAGTTCTATGTAACCATGTCTTCAAGCTATTACGGTCGCCCACAGTAATTTCTAGTGCAAGCACCTCATTTGATGTGATGTTCATCTAGATCATTATTACTCTTTCACTCAGACAGAGATCTTTCAAAATTGTCAGCAAGTTCAATTCTTTTCTTTTCAATGAGTCTACTTTTATAGACCAATAATATCCAATACTTGCTATTTTTCCAGAGCTACTACGCCTTGATAGTTCGCGGAGGATTGAAACCAGGCGAATCTCTGCTGGTACACGCCGGAACTGGTGGAGTCGGACAAGCTTCAATTTCGATCGCCCTCCACTTGGGATGCACCGTTTTCACTACAGTCAGCAGCCAAGCCAAGCGCGACTTTCTCAAGAAAACTTTTCCTCAGCTGAAAGACGAGAATATCGGCAACTCCCGAGACACATCTTTCGAGCAACTTGTCATGACGCAGACGAACGGCCGTGGTGTGGACTGCGTGTTGAACTCCTTGGCGGCCCACCAGCTTCAAGCTTCTGTCAGATGTCTCGCCATCGGAGGACGATTCCTGGAAATTGGTAAAGTGGATCTGTCCAACAACTCCCCGCTGGGGATGAACATTTTCCTGAAAAACACCACGTTCCACGGTATTCTCCTCGACGCTTTGTTCGATTCTGATAGCCCCGAGAAGCGCCAGGTAATGAATCTAGTGAGTGAGGGCATCAAGAGTGGAGCCGTCCAGCCGTTACCGAAAACTGTCTACAACGAACACCAGGTTGAGCAGGCGTTTAGGTTCATGGCTTCCGGCAAGCACATCGGCAAAGTCCTCCTGCAAATACGCGAGGAAGAGAGCAGGAAGACGCAGCGTCCTGCCACGAAGACCGTGGGCGCAATTCCTCGCACCTACATGGACCCGGAGAAAAGTTACGTCTTGGTGGGAGGTTTGGGAGGATTTGGGCTCGAACTTGCCAACTGGTTAATCAACAGGGGCGCCACGAAGATCGTCTTGACATCCAGAAGCGGAGTGAAGACCGGCTACCAGTCTCTCTGCGTAAGGAGGTGGAGAGAGAAGGGCGTTGAGGTTTTAGTATCCACAGCGGACGCGACTACTGAGAAAGGCGCCAAGAGACTCCTGGAGGAGTCCATCGCTCTTGGACCCGTAGGCGGCATTTTCAATCTAGCCGTGGTACTGAGAGACGCAATGATGGAGAACCAATCCGAGGCAGATTTCAAGACAGTTTGCAAACCGAAAGTAGATGGGAGCAAGCACTTGGACGCCGTTTCGAGAATCCTCGCCCCTCACCTGGACTACTTTGTCAACTTCTCGTCAGTGTCCTGTGGTAGAGGTAACGCCGGTCAAGCCAATTATGGTCTAGCCAACTCGGCCATGGAGCGCATTGCGGAAGCCCGGCATTCCGCGGGTTTACCGGGTATCGCAATCCAGTGGGGAGCCATTGGAGACGTCGGTTTAATTCTGGAGACCATGGGAGGAAATGACACTGAAGTCTCAGGCACCTTGCCACAGAGGATGTCTTCATGTCTGGCAACAATGGACGTGTTCCTGCAGCAGCCACATTCCGTAGTTGCTAGCATGGTTCTGGCCGAGAAGAGGAAAGCATCTGGTGGAGGCAGCCAGGTCAGTCTCACTGACGCAGTTGGGAATATCCTGGGAATCAAAGACACCTCCACTGTAGCGCCCAGTGCGTCTCTGGCAGACTTGGGCATGGACTCGCTCATGGGGGCCGAGATCAAGCAGACCTTGGAACGAAACTACGACCTGGTACTCAGCGCTCAGGAGATCAGAGCGCTCACTTTCGGCCGCCTCCTGGAACTGAGCTCTGGCGGAAGCGCTCCCGCTCCAGCTGAAATCCCCGGACCCCAAGATAACAACGTACACTTCGACCAAAGTGCCATGATTATGCCTCAGAAGAGTTTGGTGAAGATGGTAAGCAAGACGGCCGAGAACAAAACCCCCGTCTTCCTGCTACATCCTATAGAGGGTGTGGTTAACGCCTTGGAAAGCCTAGCTAAATGTATTGACGCTCCAGTTTACGGCCTTCAATGTACTGCCGCGACACCACTGAAGAGCATCGCCGATTTGGCGAAATACTACATCAGCCAGATCAAGACAGTTCAGCCAAAAGGTCCTTACATGCTTATCGGTTACTCGTTTGGAGCTTGTGTCGCTTTCGAAATGGGGGTTTGGTTGGAAAGGAGCAAGGAGAAGGTGAAGCTGTTGCTTCTTGATGGTTCGCATTCGTATGTGGCCACCCATACTGGCAAGGCTAGGTCGAAGATTCAAGGAGACACGGCGGCGGAGCAGAGCGAAGTGCTAGTGTACTTCTTGATGCAGTTCAAGGAAATCGATCAGCAAAAGGTTAGTTAAACCATTTCATCAGGATGATAAAGTTAATTTTCATTGAATGTTTGTTCTAGGTTGTTTCGGAACTCGTTGGTTTGCAAACTTGGGAAGAGAGACTATCCAAAGCTATGGAAAAGCTAGATGGAATTACACCTTACAAATTAGAGGACTTAGCTACAGCTGCAACAAGTTTCTATGAGAAATTAGTAGCTGCGGATAAATATTCGCCTTCTGACAAATTTTCAGGAAAAGTAACACTAGTGAAAGCCATTGATAACTATGTACAAATGGGCGATGACTACGGTTTATCAGAGGTGAGTTAACTCAGTTTTGTCTATTACGAAAGGTTTACAAAACTATATTAGTGAGTTTTAAGTAAAATGTACTCCATGTTGATAATTTTCGTTCGTTTCAGGTGTGCAAACAAAAGGTTGTCGTAGAATCACTGAAAGGAAACCACCGCAGCATACTAGGAGACGGCAGCGTAGAAAAAATAGCCAGTATACTTCATAACCTCATAGAAGTGTAAAAGGACATTCACTCGTAGTGCGTTTTTATTCATCACATTCCTGTTTCCTAAGCGATCCATACTTTCGAATCTCATTTTATCGTTTTGTAGCGTGTAAATATTAGACACTATTTTCTATGTTTTGTTAGCTAATTTATAGTTGTTTTAGGTTACGTAACGAAGAGTTAATTTATTTTTGTATGTTTGAATTTGAAACCAAAGACTTTCAAATACGCTCTCTGGTGATGATGCAGGGTTTGTTGCTTAGCCTTCGCATCATCGTCACAGGCAAAAGGGAATCGTTGTTTGTTGTAAATACTTAAATAAATATATTTAATCTGCAACTGAGTATTCAATTTCACTATTCCATTGTTACAAATTTTTAAAAACTTGAATGAATAAACTGTTCAATATGTACCATGACGAAAGACCAAGAAACGACTTATGAAATGATGAATACATGAAAAGCCATTAGGCAATAAACAGAAATATTAGCCGACTACTGAAGTTGATGTGAAATACGACAGCGACCAGGTGTTTAGTAAAGTACAAATAGCAAAATGTGAGATAATTACCTGTATGACCACTATGTATCCAAGTTCATCTATTTCCTCATACCTACTGAAGTAATTTACATAGTTTGACGAATGAGAGCTTCTTGATCGTTGTAGGTTTCGTGACGTCACATTAAATTGAATATAGCGCCATCTACAGAGCAGAGTCATGAACTATTTTTTTAATAATGCCTGAAGCCGCCAACTTGCTTAATGAAACGCGTGTCGAGAAAAGTGTTGCATGTCTGGTGATTAGTTGCTGGTGAAAAAGTTGCTAAAAGGATTGAATTTGGACCTCATCTTTATTCTCAAGAGCCAAAAACCTACTGTTGCTCATTAATTTGAAAGAAATTGTTAATGCACAATAAAAAATGTACATTTCCTACAGTTTAAAGAGAAAGATCGAAAGAGAGTTAAAGCATTTGCATTCATACATTCCAAGAAGGTTGACAAGATCTGACTGATTGAAATTTAATAATTGGTGTCAGAAATGGAATAAATAACTGGAGAGTTCTGTACATTTTCGTGAAAAATTAAAAAAATCAACTGAAACAAATAATGTAAGAGGAAATCCGTAACTATTGCAGAAAAATAAATTGTCGATGATGTTCAGAGAACAGTCAAGAGGTAATGCAACTGAGAATCGACAAGTGAAAAACCAAGCAGGAGATATTGTAAATTGTAGTTATATAAAAAAAAAATCAAATGAAGGAAATATACAGAAATACCTTTGACGTTTTTGAAAAACAGATTCACTAAAGCGATAGTTGGGAAAAACTTGAAGAAACAAATGGAGAATTTTGCAAGTTATTTTCAAAAATTTGAGATTAAAAATTATAAACCACCATTCCAAAATTATATAATTTCAAAATGTCTTACGTCGCAGACACATCTACCGAGTAGCGAATAATTTATATTCTTTATTGACCAGTTGGGTACAAAATTATACATACGGCAAATCATAATTTTCACAGTAAACTATTCACCCACAGTATATCATATAAAATAATGATATATCAGACATACACGTATCAAACCCACTATATACAGACATTTAACAGTTACAATCATTCAGGAATTTTTCGCAACTTGTCTAGTAAGAGTTTTTAACGCTCCTGTAGAATAACTTGTGTTTTAATTTTTGTAATAGCTGACGGCAGCGCATTGTAAAGGCTGACTGCATTATCTAGTGGTGATTCTTTAAATTTGGAGGTTTTGTGTCTAGGTCCCTTTAATAAATGCCCATAACGTGTTGGATATTCATGACATGATGAGGTTTTTTCATGTACTGACTCGTTTTTTCTGGCGTAGTTCTCACTTTATATGTATATGCAGGGAGCTGACAGAAGCCTTTCTCTAATGAATACTGGCCTACAGCTCTGTAAGTAGTTCATATCAAATATCAGTCTCACTAGTCGTTTCTGTAATACAAAGATCCTGGTGAAGTTTTTGCACTTCCGATATTATATTGTAAAATAAGTGTGAATGTGCCATTGCATAGTAAACTTGACCTGCTTATACATTGCTTCATCTGTTTTATTGCAAAATATGTTTTAATTTACAACATACACTATCACCATCATTCATTATCTAAGCCAAAAAACAAAATTGTTGATTTTTCCATTACATGTAGGGATAATGAGAATCAAATATTTGAATAGTGTTATTTCACATACCGATAGAGGCATGTATTCAAGTGTTATCAAGAAATTAAATATTTTCTAGAGCGACATCTAGTGGATACTATGAGAACATCTTATGTATAAGTACCATCTATTTCAATCCACACGAGGTTCGCTTCAGGGATATGTGGCCAAAAACGAAATTTATTTGTAAAACAAACCGTTTATTGAAAAAAATTCAAAAACAACAATGGAATGAAAATGAATTGCCGCACGTTTCGTATTCTTACTAAACCGAGAATTACCTAGATCTTAGCTCGCACAAGTTTCTCAACTTCTGAGAGTTGTCGTTCGTATGGGGGCGACAGCTGATTAACGGAAAAACATAATTGTAGAATGGAGACCATAGAACAGAGCCATATTCTAATTTTGACCTTACGTAGTCAATAGAGCAGATATGTTTGAAAAATATCTATAATTGCGAACTATGAAGCCATAAACTCTCAAAGCTTCACTTACTTTCGATCTAATATGGTTGGAAAAAGACAAATTTTGATGGAAATATACACCAAGATCTTTAATTGAATTACTTCGTGACAGTGAAATGGTATCTACTCGATAATTGTACTCGATGACTGACATTTTTCTACTATAAGACAATACATTTGGATGCATTGAGATATAGTTTGTTTACTTCACACCAAGTCTGTATATTTTCTGTCGTTGCAATTTATTACAGCCTGCAACGGTTTCGACAGGTGAATATATTTTCGAATCATCTGCAAAAAATAACTTATTACAATGGACATAATTACTGAGGTCATTAATAAATAATAAGAACAGAAGTTGTCCGAGAATTGACCCCTGAGGTACTCCAGATGACGGATTGTAATAAAAAGAATCATAGCCTTTATAAGATACAAACTGTTCGCGTTGAAGTGAGTAGGATTGACCACGATTATCTAAGACATCACTAATATTTTGGGTCAATACAATTAAATTTGTTATGGTGGATCTGTTTGACATAAATCCATGTTATTGCGGAGATTTGATATTACGAACTGAGGAATGTACGCGATTGTAGATGACAATTTCGAGAAGTTTTGCAAAGTTCGATAGGATTGAGATAGGATGATAATTCCGAATATCAGATGGTTCTCCAGATTTAAAAATGGGACAAACTCGTGATATCTTCCATAATTCAGGAAAATTATTATTTTTAAGTGCAAGATTGAAAAGTGTCAGTAAGGGATAGACCATTACACCGATGCCATCTTTTACAAAAAAGGACGGTATCTTATCAGGACCAGAAGTGAACTTATTTTTTAGTTTACGTGCCGCAATTAAGATTTCCTGTTCGCTGATGTTTTCAAAGTTTATATTATTATAAAAACAAAAAAAATCGAGGAGGTTACGTATACCGCCATCTGCCCACGAATATATCAAGCAATAAAGTCAATATATCAAGGAGGTAACGTACAGCGCGATCTGCCTATGAATAGATCAAGCAAGGAGAGTTACAAACATACATACATACAGGTGAGGCTAATAAAAGCGTGTTAATTACTAATAATTAATAAAAAAACCGAGCAGTTTAGTGTGTCGTGTACAATTAATTACGGTATTATTCGAATTGATATGATTTAGAAGTTGACTGTTGGAATGACTAGTTTCAAATATTATTATATTTGTTTTGTCAACATTCAGGCATAACCAGTTTCTATCAACCCATTCAATCACATTAGTGTATGCTACCTCGGCTCGTTTTATGGCATTTGTAATATTATCTGTGTAAAACAGAAGATTAGCATCATCCTCGTAAGCTACCAATTTAGTTACTTGTTCTTTCATGGATTCCCGTAAATCGTTAACATAAATTGAAAAACAAGGTGGGCCCAGAATTGAGTCTATTTTCCTATTGTTATTCGAGAGTTGTGCCAGTAATAACATCACTAACCTTATCAATATGTTCATGCCAATACTCGTCGTTCCTACTTTTTGGATCAGCGTTGCTCAATCTGGAAAAAAACGTCGGATAAGTCAAGTGGATGCTGTTAGAGTCAATGGCAAAGGAATCTGCGATGGCGCTCTGTATTTTCGCCCTCACAAACTGATAAACAGCCATATCAGATCAGATTCAAAACGTAGATGAATTGACAACTTACCTTTGTTAGCCAGTCTCAGGAGCAGATCGGCTTCATGGGATGTCACAATCTTATCACTGACGTATCTGCCACATTTATTAGGAATACAACCCTGATATTGTTTGATATCTTCTAAATATTCACTGCCGCAATCAACATTCTGGCCCCTTCTGTTGTAACTTTCGCTCTGCTTTGCTAAAACTGACTCCTTCGGACTTTTTGAAAAATACCATAGGTAAATAATTATGCCTATTACAACTATTCCCCTACTCCAAACACGTTGACCAGAAAATTTGGGTAAGGGTCCATATTTGCTGAAAAGTAGATGATGAAAAGATAGATATTTTATTGGGTACATTATGCGGAAAACATTTGTATTCTGTAAATGTAAACCAATCAAAAAAATCATTATTTGTATATAAACGCACAACAAAATAGATAGATCAGAATTCAGTAGCGGTTTACTCCAAGGATCCGTTCTAGGACCACTGGAACAGTGATTCTTAGAAATTTCAACTGTTTTTTTTTAAATTTATGATAGATAAATGAAGAAGTTTGGCAAACATCGGGAATAGTACACAGTGTCAAATGACTTGCTATAATCAAGATTAAAAAATATGGTTGCCTGTAGCCATATGGGTATTCCGGATGAATATTATTACTGGAAACATATAAGAGAATTTGCCTTCTAAACAATTTTTGAAATTGCTGGTGAATTAAGATCATAAAATCAGGTACATGAACATGCTGACTTGTGTACTTACATATCGGTATTATTTTTTGCAGGTGATGTTTCTGTTTTTTCATCATCAGATTTCCTTTCTTTTATTTTATTTTTCTGTGCGTTTTTCCGGGATACAGTTGACTGAGTCATTTTTTTAAATGAAATTTGTAAATTACTTGTAAACTAAAAGATAAGATAAAATTTAAAGGCATTTGCATAAAGCCACACAATGTTTTTCAAAGGTTTGGGGCTCTTCTGTCACAGAACACCTTAAATTTTAAAAAAAATTACATTACGGTTGGAATCTGACTACCTTTGAATACTTATAAATCAAATCCTAGGACGTTCAGGTAAGATGAAATCCTTAATTTCCTTGTAATAAAACAGTTAATTTCAGAGAATTCAAGTTATGTTGAATTGTTTGTTGTCTTTTTGTCAAATTTCATTTATTATCATGTTCCATGTTCCATGTCAGGCAGATATCTTCTTCTTTATTGAAAAAAAAAATGGTTTTGTCAAAGGTGCATAGAAACCCCGGTGTGTTAACTGATTCGTTTTTGTTTTGTTAATAACTCTCGACTTCAGACGAGGTCCTGATTCCTGTTAACTAAAATACTGTTATAATCTAATTCAGCAAATGTCAGTACTAACCTTGTTCTGTCAATTCATTATAATATATGGATCCTTTTGAATATTTGTGATGTTTCCCTCCCGTAAAGTAAATGAAGTAGTGATAACTCAAAAAAACTAATAGGTACTCAATTTGAATTTCCCAGGAAAAACCCAAGAGAAGTGAATGCAAAAAACGCATCAAAAACATTCTTTCCACGATAAATGAACTGGAGAGAAACCTCATAAAATCTCAACAAACTGATAGGCAAATTTTGATGGCTATTCGTCTAGATCATCTGAAGGACAAGAATATCATTACACAACTGGAGGAAGTTCAAAAAGAAAACAAGCAGTTATTGGGTAAATTTTGGAAATCGATTCAGTTTCCGTAGTTTGAATGATACTTACTATTTACATTGATTTAGATATGATGCAATTGCAAGATTGCCAAAGAAAAAACATGTCGAGGACAAATTCAAGTACCTCTTGTTCAACGATGAGCTTGGTAAATTTACAATACAAGTATGTTCACATTGGTTGACAAAAATCAAATCGTTGTCATCAGACATTTATTATTCCAGATACGAAGAGCTTTTAGCGAATCAAAATGATTTACTGAAACTACTGGAGATGCGATTATCTGAAAACCGTAAATATCACGAGGAGAATTGTCAACTACAGGAAGAGATCGAGAGTTTAAAATTACAGTTACAGAATAGTCAAGAGGAGTTTTCAAGAGTTTTACAAAAAATGAAGGACAGCAAAGTTAAAAAAAGTAATAAGGTAGAGGTTATATTTCCTGTTATATAGCTTCACCAGTTGTGGAAATAAGGGTCCATATTAACATGGTGAATGAGTTTTTGGTCCCAATAGGCATAATTCCTTAAGATTTTTTAAACAATCCCACTTCAAAGACAATTCCAAATGAAAATATTGTTCTCCTCTTCTCTTTGTTATTTCGTGTATGACATGTCAATTGTCAGTTAGAGGAACATTAAGAAATGGGAGTGTTGTTCTATGGCTTGTGATACTTCGTTAGATTAACATGTTTTGGAGAATATAACAAATTCTTCACAAGAAATTGGTTGTTTTGAGCAATTATATAAATTGAATTTGAGTATTTCTCGTTATTTCGATGTTTATATTTCATTGAATCGTATCATGTGATTGTACATGCTTTGATAAAGGAGTGGATTACTTTCTTTTTAATATCTTCAATTACAAAATCTTTGGTAAATTCATAGTAATGATAATAAATGCAATTCAATGAATTAAAATTATAATTCTGTTCAACTGGCTGTACTGTTTTTATTTATTCATGACGCTTGGTTTGAGGTTGAAAGTTACATTTATTCATTATGTTACACATAGTGATAATGATTCGAATGAAATCAAGAAACCTTTGTATATTTTCAACATGAAAATTGTGTATTCTTCAAAAATGTATTGAATAGCTCAAGATCCTTGTTAGATTCTCAATTGGCTTCATTTTTCGATAGATATCCAAACTAAAAAACGAAAGGGACACCCTGAAAATGGTTCACAGCCGATTTGTGAGTTTGTTAAACCAACAATTCACGGAGCGAGATGATACTTTGTGCGAAATATTGAAAACTACTCCAGAATCCGACAAGGCGCTGCTTATTCAAGAAGTGAGTACCTCAGAAAGGTAGTAGAAACTCCAAATATTATCATTACTAAGAGTCAGTTTGATGGGTTTGGTTCAAACTAGAATTTGACGTAAAGGTTGAACTAATATAGTGACAGTGACAGTTACTTTGAGTTTCTAGTAAGTCTTACTCGTCACTTGTCATATTACAACATAAAAAAGTTTGACCAATGCTTTACAGCATTATTTATTTTTGCTCTTAGGCATGCCCAAGCTGATTCAAAGTTTGGATACTGTCCGTCACGTTAATAAACAGTCGTGTCACAAGTTAATCTAAAGATTTTGTTTTATCAGAACGCATAAAGCATTCAAATCTTAGTTCGAACAGAACCTATGAAGCTGGTCCTTTCAAATACATGTTTATGAATATTCATTCTGTAACATCTTCCAGGCATCATGAACTATTACGAATATTCATATATTTCACAATGATTCAAAAACATTTTTTTAAATATTTCTAGATTCGCAAGAATAACGCATTGCTGTATGAAAATTTTCAAATGCAACAGAAGATTGATTATCTGCAGTCAATTATGAACACCAGGGCTTGCAAATAAAATAAGTCAAAGTCACCTATCAATTTTAATTACCTTTTAGATGATCCATATAACCATTTGAATAAAATAATCTCGCAAATAAGATGTTGGGACTTTATCTCTATTAGCAAGGGCATATCCACAGCGAGTTGAAGCAACTAACACTTACGAAATTTTATTGGGGAACTACACCAGAGACAGAGAAAAAGGCATAGGATTCACCTTCTCTCCCCATTTGATTGATTTTTCAGTTCTTATATATTTACTTCTGAAAGTGTCAAAGCAAAGTGTACATCACCTTAGTCAAAAGATATATGAGGTTGACATATATATCCTCAAAAAGAACCATTAATATGATGTACTAAGAATCGCTCGATTGAGGAGAAGTCCTCGTTAATTTTCAGTTATCGCACAAATTTCAACTTTTGGCGGTTTTCATTTCTAGGGAGACGACAGCTGGTTGACTGGCTTACATTTATGTTGACAGAAAACGTGGTAAGTATATTTCAGATAAAAAACTACATTCTACAATTTGATAAAAATAAAAATATGTTGAAACTCTCATCATATATTCTCCTAGAATAAACAATAAAACTTTTATTCTGGGAAATTATTTTTTGATCTGGTTCGTAGGACCGCATTGATGCCCCACGTTGGGCGCCAACATCTTCTCGACCACTTTGTGACAATAAAGGAAACACATGATTGAAGTAACAATCGGGAATCGGATACTAAATAAAAAAATCAACTGGCTATGAAGTTAGTGTAATCATATTACATTTGAAAGATGTGACGACCAAATAAATGTGTATCACAGTTTTGAATTCCATAAAATATTTCTATTTAAAATATCTAAAAAAAAGAAGGATTAATAAAATGTTCGAGGAATTATTTGTTATTACTTGGCTGTTAAATCGAATCCGTTATTGTTCGACATATTCAGATTTCCGAGTCGTCTTTTGCCGGCGCTCAAGTCTCCAAAATCAGTCCACAACGGTGGCATATCCAGTTTTCCTGAAAATGAATATACCTAGTTATTTTTTCAGAAATATGTTAAGAAGAGATTTAAATTTATAATCTCGAAGGATGATGCAAACCCCCTGACAAAATGACATGAGTTTTACCATATTTCGTAACAGACTTTATGTGGTACTGTGCCCTTTCTTTTCTTATTTTACTTGTTGAACAAAGAGAAATCCAAATTTAACAATGTTATAAAGTCACGATGAAATCAAAAAACAACACAGAACCACTACTAAACCAACAGAACAAAAACTGATATCTTATCAGTAGAAAGGTCATTCTCGATGGTTTTGTACTTGAAAATGAATACACCATGGGCGATGGCAAAGATGCTAAAAGAATCGCACAGTTTGTTAGGGTGAACTGGCTTACGTGTTTATACTTGTTTGAACGCTTTGAAAAAACTTTGATTGAATTGATAAGGAAGGTTAAGGAATATTCTGGGTACTCAATCATTTATTTCAATAATGCTATGGTCGTAAACTGAAACCTAATACAGACTACAAATCACTTCAAATTTTTCATTCAGAAAAAATAGTAGCATTGTTGCTGTTATTATACTTGGCGCAAAATCTCCCAGTGAGGTTTGTGCTCGCTAAATTGATTTTTTCCAGAGATTTATGCAGTTGTCAACTTACCAGATTTATTATTTTGCATTCCGCTATTTCTTCCTGTATTGGAGAAGTTGGAAAATAAGCTGACGTTGGAATCTCTCCTGGTACCAGAAGGTTGCCCTGCAATATATCTGGAGACACTCAAGTACTGATTCCTGGCAGTACCAGCGCTGGCTTTAGCCAAAGGTTCCAGAATGTCTTGAAGATTGAGCTGGCTGATGTTTATTTTAGTTTCTTTGCTCTTTTCTGTGGAGGGCAGCTTAATTTTACTTCTTGGGCAAAAGTGAAGAATAAAAAAATACAAATTGTTAGAATTTGGTGATTTGAATGATTTGAAAAATGTAAATGTTGATTTCGATTGAATTGTGAAATATGTTGAATTAACTCGGAGAATTGTATAAGCCCATTTCAAAAGTAGTTCTTAGACGAATATTATGATAAAACCAGAGAAGGTTTGGAGTTAAGATCGTTCAAAGAAGTCAAAGCAAGTGAAATACTAAACATTCAAATAAATTATGAAATGTCCAGACCAGGAAATGGGTCAACAAAAAACATACAGAATACACACAGAAAAACCTTTACAAAGTAATAGTCCGAGAAGAACTGCTTTAACAAAGCAGGGATCGGTTGAGAATAATCACATTCGCTGAAAATGAATTTTGAGACTTAGGAAGCGGAGAGTAGAGGAAAAAGATTGTCATAATGTGATATACAAGTTCCAGCATAAGAGTGTCCTACACTTTGCAGTGAATCTGATGTTGTCCTTTTACAGCTTTCATATGATATCGATAATACCGATAATAATAAACATACCCCAGGATATCAGCAAAGTCGTCTTCGTATTCGAAGTTTGTCTCCATGCCCCAGGTGATTTTCTTGTTCAGCGCTCCTCTGGCGTCTCCTTTGCTGAAAACCGGCATGTACTTGCTGCCGTAGTCCGACTGTCCGAAACTATAAACGATGGGCGCCATCCTAGACTTCTCGGGCGTCTCCATCGGTTTGATGAGAGACTGGATATTGATTTGGACGGCAGGCTGCATTTGCGACAGGTTTGTACTCTGGTTCATTTGTTTCAGCAACGGACGTCCGTTGGCTTGCACTTGGACCTGCGGCGGAGGGAAAATTGCCATTGGCGGGTCTTCTTGGCGGAGGGGTTGAGCCGATAGTTTTTTGAAAATCCCGTTCGAATGGGACTGTAAGGCACTGTTCATTTGGATTTGGCGGTTGGTTTGTAGGGCGCTGTACTGTCCGGTCTGAAACATGTACTAACTGGAGTAGTGACCCGAGAATGACATCTTGAGGAACAGCAAGTTGTGAAATATACGAAGTGTGTCCGAGAATTACACGACCTGGTTCATATCTACGCACGCATCGGTGCTATTCTTCGTCATCCAGGCCGTGACATCCTTCGAAGTAGTCCCCTTTTGAGTGAACCACACGCTCCCAGCGGTGCTTCCATACCTTGTAGATTCTGAAATGGCCTTTATCTCGCGCGTGGCATTACATCTCGCTCGTCGCCAGCCTCCGTACATTACTGTACGGAGGCTGGCGAAACTGTACAATCGTATGTTTCGCCAGAAATGGCTGCACAACGTTCGTGGTGACCAGAAACGGGGTCTTTTCAGAACTGTAACGTAATATTCTTTGTAGATCGTCTGACCTCTTGAAGCAAATTCTTAGTGTACATCTTCACAATCGAAAAAAAAAATAATCATGGCTCCAGCGTTGTCTTTTTTTTTATTATCAATATTACTGACCATTTCCAAGATGTTTCTGCTCGGTCGTGGGTAATTTCGGAATGAATTTCCCACACACGCGATTCATGTTCCAAAATCTTATTCAGAATTTCCCAAACAGTAGTTTTTCGTAATCATTTTAGTTCAATCACAAGTCGCACACACTTGATATTTTCCGGTGTTGTTGTCAGCGAAAGTCGGCCAGAACGAGGATCACTGTCAACAGATATACGGTCATTTTTAAACTGCCTGTACCATTCCAATTATCTGTTTTCTGCCCATATTTCCGCCCCTAAAAGTATTTTGCATCATTTCACCCATCTCCATACGGCTCTTTCTAAGATTGAAGCAAAACTTGAATCAAATTCGTTGATCCTTTCTGTTTTCAACAGTAAATACATGCGAATAACGGAATGAACACGTTGTGAATAAATACACGCTGCGCGTGTCCCTGGGCTTTCAGTCGGTAACTTCGGCTATCCAGAAAGTTCGTGGAAGATATAAACGCAGGTCGGATACTTTTCGAACACACCTCGTATGTGGGAATTGAAGTTCACTAAATGTTTTACTGATTAGTTTGAAAATAAATTGTTCCAGGTTCAAATTCGACTTCTGTATCAAATTGACAACGTAGAGAAAATTTCAAACTAGTTGATTGTCAGAAGTTGTTAACACTGTCAGTTCATTTCCCTTGTTACAAACAATATAAATGTGAAAAATAGATGATATAATTCTTACCAGAAAATATTGGTTTTTGAGGGCTGACTGAGCTGTAGGTCTAAAGGCAGGATTCCATTCAAGTAATTCGTCAATGAATTTGATACCATCCTGACTCGCTTGAGGTACAACGTCGCCCAGGGGAGTTTTGGTGAAATATGGATATTTGAAACCTAGCGCTCCTGCCAGCTGGTAACTCTCTGGCCATTTGATCTGGAAACAAGTTAGATTTTGTGAGATATTCTTCCCACGTGAATCCAGAGTTCAAGGACATCCTTTGTTTTTTATTCGTTGTTTCGAATTTTACTCAACTCAACTCAACTTCTGTCGAAATTGCAGTATTTCTTTTCATTAGTTTCATACAATATAATATACCAAGAACTTCCTGCTTTTAAAATAGTTAGGCAACATTATTTTTTTATTCGCCAGGCACTAGTACCCATTTATAAATTTGGCACCAGTGCGAAGTGAAACCGGTCTGTAACCTGTCGAGAATGACGCGAGTAATTGCCACTCGAATGACGTAATTAATAGACGCTTACATTCGGCTCGTGTCGACAAGCTAGCTTCATGCTTATGAGTAATGGCCACATTTCTTGCTAGTTGAATAATACGGTTATACTATTTTACTTCAGGAGTTCATGCTTCATTCTTGTTTTTCGTTGGAAACTATATATTTCAAATCGAAATGTTAGTCCAATGATTAAGATTGACGTTCGGGGACATATTTTGAAGAAAAAATGCTCAAAATACACTTGCCAATGGAAATTATTCAAAACCAACTGTAATGTTATGAATTCGATCATCTGTTATTGACCTTCGAGGTAGTGAGTTATAAACATAGTAAACTGTGAATTATAGATCATTTTGACTTCTTACCCAACGAAAAACAGTCTCATAATCGACGCTTCTTTCATTAGTCATAGAAAAAAAATCAAGCACTTACCTTATCAGGGGTACCTCTGATCGCGCAAATCTTATACAGCTGGTCAGTTTCCGTCGTTCCAGGAAACAAAGGTCTGTAAGTATAAATCTCCGCAGCGATGCAGCCTACAGCCCAAAGGTCAATAGGGCTGCTGTACGTCGTCGAATGGAGCAGCACCTCCGGGGCCCTGTACCAACGTGTCGAAACGTAGTCCGTATAAGGCGGCCTAGACCGCAGCTCCCTGACCAATCCGAAGTCGGCGATTTTCACCATGTCCGGGCCAGAACAGAGAATGTTCTCCGGTTTGAGGTCGCGATGGAAAAACCCGTGGCGGTGGATGAACGCGAGGCCTTGGAGTATCTGGAAGAATTAGGAAATGTCAGGCACTACGGGGAGGGCCTGTTACTGTGAAGTTGGGGAGATCCCAAATTGTCAGGCACAACGGTAAAGCTTCTGAAATTTCACCAAAGTAGCTTTTCCAAAAAATTTCTAAAATTCAATCATTTTTTTTAAATATGGGAAATGACAGCCAAAAAATCTTCCTGATCCTGAATTTGATCTCAGAGCTAACCGATCAAATTTTTTCCTCGCTCTTCTGAGTACCGTTCACAGAGCAGAGATAACTAAGACATCTGCACACATCTGCATTACCGAACGAAGCATTACGAGCGAAGCGAGCTAATCAAGCGTTCACATTTGGGTTAAACGAACACACCTATTGTAACTTGTATTACATTTCAAATGAATTATTTCTCAACAAAAACAAATACACAAACAACATGTTTACACATTTTTTGGGCATGGCGAGGTTATATATTTTTTTAGTTAGACTTTGAATAAATCATAATAACTGTTGATTCAATATTTTATTTTCAAGTTTATTTTGATGGAAACATAATTTTTTGTTTATAATTTTGCTCCCATTGAATGATACAAAATGAAAAAAGCTGTAAATATAACTGTTTCATAATCATTTACAGTATTTTTATCTCTTAGATGAGGTTGACAACACTGAGTTTGAACCACAGATACATATCTTCTGTCATCAATGTCTGTATAAAGAAAATATAAACGAAATGATGACAAGGTTCTATAATTGGGAATTATTGATTGGAAAATACATTATAGATGAGAATAATGTCGCGTAGAATGATAAATGATACCATATAATGGAAGGAAAATCAATTGAACTTGAACTGTTTCGTTTATTTCAGGTTGACGAGTCCACAAAATCTCTAATTACCTGTTCAATACCTATATACCCAAGTCAAATGAAATCAATTCACACAATTATCAGTTGAGTGAATTACCCAAAGAATGTGCTGAAGAAATTCTTAAATTGGTCAAAGATTATCCATCTTATTCAAATGAATCATAAGGATTAAAAATATTATAAGGAATTGTACGTGTGTGTGTGTGTGTGTGTGTATGTATATTGTATGTGGATTAAAGTGTATAGCAATTGTTGCCCGTGGCTTCTCCCGCGTAGAATTTGGTTTGTCACATTAAGTTTCGGGACAGACCATTTTAAGACAATATTTTTTTACTAAACCAAAACTTTAGGTGTCCCAACTTCAAAAAGTGACAAAAATGACAAAATTCACAATTTTTGAACCCTAGTGGCGATGGCACTTCATTGCTTAGGCCGCCCTTCTACTCCCGCGCATCGTCCCCCGTCGTCTTACAGTAGATGCGACGCGTAATGGTTTACTGCATTGCGACTTAAGGAGATAAAAAAATTTAAATGTGACGTCAAACTTGGATTTTTTTTTCAAAAAATGTCAAATTATCAACATTTAAAATAAACTAAATCAATAAAATTTTGTATTAGAACCTTCATGTGTGTTCATTCTGACAAACTCACCTGTTGTAACATGTTTCTGACAGTCGCTTCTGGAAAAGGCACTCTTCGGTCTTTGATGAGTTGGTATAAATTTTCTTGCATATACTCGAATACGAAATAGAGAACGTCGTTTTCACGGATGACTTCTTTCAGCTTCACTACATTCGAGTGGTGAAGTTTTTTCAGAGACTGAAAATAAGAGACTAGGGAGTCAGTTTTTATTTACCACGCCTTCAAGGGTTTTCAAAACTACTACTTTGACTCAAGTAACTAGTTGTTGCAGTTGTTATTAGTAAGTACGCATTAGATGAAATCAGAGCCCAGAAAACAGATAACGCTGTTTTGACTAGCTACCGATCTCATAACAAAGATGTTAGGCTGAATCACGATTGCTTTATTGACTCAATTAGCCTTAAAGAAAAAGACTGCGCCCCTTACAAAGACGTCATCTATGAGATCGATAGGAAACTCAAATCTTGCTTATCCGTAATGAAAAAAAGTTGCCAAGGCAAGCTTCGATATTGACCGCTGAATGAGAAATTACTATATGATTTTCTTTGGAATTTTCATTGCAAAGCAAATAGATCAAACAAAAGCCCAAAAACGAAGGTCATCGGGGTTAGCACCACCGTTTAGATCTAGAGCAGGTCTGATTTTATTTATTTGTCTTCAGTAGAGGAAATCAGCAGTTTGGAGAAGAAAAAATCGATTGAATTTATTGAGTTGATTGAATTATCATCTTTTTTGTGTATGTCTTCGCTACGTTATTGATAATTAGTGCAAGTTTTTCAATACATATGCTCCAAATGCTTCATTAACTAAAACTAATGTTTCAATCATAAATGAAATAGGAAATACTGCCTGATGAACCCAAACCTGCGAAACTACCTGTAACAAAATTGTCATTTCTTATGAAATCAATTGTGTTGAAAAACTTCAAAAATCTTTTTTTTGACATATTCAAATTATAAAAGTGAAATAATTAGAATACAATATTGTTACATAAACTTATACATATTGTTTTTAAGCTGATCTCACTATTGCTATCTCGAAAACGGTAAGACCTACAAAGTTGGTTGAATTGGACAAAAATTTACTATTTTGGAGAGCTAGAATAATCTTTGTTCAGAATATCAGTGATTGTTTGCGAAATATTGGACATTCTAAAATGTTCAATAATGTCGTATGATTAGTTGGTAATAATGAATTTAAAATTCATTTTATGAACGCACTGTATTAAGTAACGAACAATTGGATTTTTTTCGCGAAATTGTTAAAGTTGTGATATCCTGTTCTTTCTCATTCATCATTAAATTATTCAAAAAAGTTATTTTTTCATTTGTTGGTAATTTGCCACTATTTGCATTAACCTGAGATTATAGCTCTGATAAATAGCGAGGGAAAGCATAACGGAACGTACTTTATCAAATTTCAAGTAGGTCACTCGGGGTCAAACGCCACATCACTCTTGGCAGATACGTCACGATATGCGAATATCCAATATAACAAAACCCATTGAACGTCATAAAAGCCGAACAAAAATGAAAGAAAACCATATAATTACCTTCACCTCGCGAAGACTCATAGCTTCGTCCCACGAGTAGTACTTCCTCTTCATCCTCTTGATGGCCACTTTTTCCCCTGTGTCTTTCCTCTGTCCCAGAACCACCGATCCATAAGTACCGTCTCCAAGCTGGTGGAGAATGGTATAGCGATTCATTTTTGGTTTAATTTTTTCTACTGTCTTGCGAAACTAACCCATCACATTTTCAGTTTAGCGACTGAAGGGTAAGTCTTCAAGTTTGTATTGTTGACAGTCATGTTGCACTGAAAGCTATTTTGTTACTAGTCAGTGGAAATCGACCAAGTCTGCGCCGTTGAGAATATCGATTATTTCAGTAATCGTCCGTTTGTTTCAGAAGGACTTTACTTGAAGGGTGTTATTATGTGTTCTTTTTGTAATACAGCGGGGGCTAGAGAGATTTTGGGTCACGATAAAGACGTTCAGATTTTAGAGCGTAGATTGCCGGTTTGAATCAATAGCTGGTTAAGAAGGAGGACATAAGAGACCATCAACACCTGATTCGAAAAAGAAAAAAAGAAACTTGATTGTTCGAAGAACAGTGAACTCTTTCAGGCAAAGGTGTGTCCTTCAGAATACAAGAAAATCATAGCCCCTCTGAACAGTTGTGGGTAGAAACTGTGCTAAGCTTACAGTGTTGGTCACACATTGAACCTTTAACTATTCGATTTATTATTATAAATTTGCGATGAAGGATGTACTTCAAAAAAAATGTTCCATATAATACTTTTAAATAGCAATGCATTGGGCTTTTTCAAAGTAATCTCTAGTATACAGGGATATAGATCATTTCGTGGTGATGATAATTTGTTTAGCGAAACGAGCGACAAGAGACAGTATATTTATTCTGGCGAGGAAAAAATGTTTTCAACATATACATTTGTAGAATCTGGCGAAGGAATTACAGGTCGAAATACTTATTTTCATAATAATTATGTATCTCACTTGATTTATTTCTAAAATCGTTGTTTTTGGAAAATATGTTGCACATGCGATAATTATTTATAAAGTATACGAGTAATATTCAAAAAACAAGTTGAATCTTAATTTTTCCCAAAAAAAGATACATTCATTCGTCAATTTCCATTTTTTTTCCTTCAAAGTAGTCCCTCAGATATAATACACCCGTATCCTCTAAGTAGTTCTGACATACACTTTTTGGTATGACCTTGAGCTTTCTCAACGATTCGGTTTTTATCTCTTCAATCGTCGCAAAATGCTATCCTTTCGTGGGTCTCTTGAATGTTGGGAACAGGAGAAAGTCGCAGGGGGCCAAATCTGGTGAATACGGTGCCTGAGGCATGATTATGGTGTTGTTTTTAGCCAAAAAAACTACTAAAAAAGCAAGCGGCGCATGACTCCATGATAATACTTCTTATTGACCGTACGGCCACGTGGCAAAAACCCCTGATGCACTACGCCATGTTAATTGAAGAAAACAGTGAGCAAAACCTTTACATTTGATTGAACTTGGTGTGCTTTTTTGGTCATGGCTCTTCTTGGTTCTTCCATTGGGACGATTGAACTTTGGTTTTGATGACATATCCATTTACCCATGATTCGTCATCAGTTGTGATCCTTTCCAGCAAATCTAGATCGACGTTGCTCATGCGACGGCTTTTTTGGTCAGAATTCAGCAATTTTGGAACGAACTTTTCTTCACTTTCAGCACATTTTTGTCGGTTGTTGATGTGGTGGAGCTTCCAAGGCGAGCGTCATTATTCACATCTTCTCGACTTTGTCAAAATAACCTTATACCTTTGTATATAGACTAACCTATATCATAGTATAAAATCTTCATACTATGCCTATATACAAGGCTTATACTGTATCATTTTATCAATGATTTTACCACAAAGAAAAGGCTGTCGTTACTAATTACGTTATAGGAACCTGTAAAAAGTTTTTCACTTCATATTCACAAGATGTCGCTTCAGAAGTATAGAAACCGTTTTTGGAAAAATCTAGAAGTAATGGTTTTGACTCGCAAGATGACGTTTTAAAATAGAAAAAGGTACCAATCGAATATTCATTTATCCTAACCTAACAAGATATAGGAATAATTAAAGATGTAGTTCACATTATTAATATTTCATTTTTTCCTGAGGAAAGAAAAGCAATCATAAAACAATATTTATTCAAAGTTCAACAAACACAACAAATTGAAATAATTAAAAATTAATTTGCACTAACAGAATGTACCAGATCTATGTCAATAAAAACCAAGTTGACACTTTGTTGGTAACATACAATTTTCAAAAAAATCCAGAGATCTGGAAATACCCGTCAAAAGGAATAAAATTTCTTTAACCCTTGGCATTCACTGAATTCGTGACATAAGCATACAGGCGTTTTCCCCACCATGATTCCAAGTCGAAGGGCTTGAAATCTTGTAGGGAAAGACAGGGTTCGTCTTCATAATAACATATGGAGGATTCACCTGAAAAAAATTACTCAAGTTGAAAAAATCCAATAGAATCACTTTAAAAACCTAATGATGATATGTGATAACTGAGATTGGTGGCAAGTTCTATGTTAATATGGTCCTCTCACCTTGCGAACTAGGACTGTTTGTTTCATCGGAATCTCCGTTTTCTTGGTCTAATTCTGCACACACAGAATTCCAAGCTAAAAAATATTAATCTACATTTTATGAGACTAGCAGAAAATTGAAATTCTTACATTCATTGATGAAATGTATTATTTCTTCATGCTGAGGGGATAAATGTTTACTTCTTTGTACTACAGGTGATGTTTTCTTGTTGAAAGTTGGTTTTGGTACGCTGAAATTACACAAAATAATATATTAATTCATTCAGTCATAACCATTTCTCAATGGGTACATTTCACAATGTTAGTACACCTCTAGTTAGTACTTTGAAATGTTAACTTTAAATGAGAATACTCTATTTTCAAAATAATGCAATCTAACCATATAGTTATCAATAGTATATTGTTCTTAGAAAAATACCGAAATGTATGTTACTAACTTTGTGATTTCAATTTCCTCATTCTCCACTATTTTATTCTTGTGATCTCTGAAATTGTCGATATTTTGAGAAATACCTGAAATTTTGAAAACATTCAGTATTATTTCATTCTATGAAGAATGCCATACCCCTTCTTGCAGTTTTGGCAACAATTTTACTAGGACCTTTTATATTGTACATATTTTTAAAGTTAAACCTTCCAAATCCAAACAATATTATGAAATACGAAATTAAGTGACAACCACGTGACTATGCATCTATGACGTTCGCACATGTGTTTACAAGGCTGCCACTCGATATTCAATTTTTGTACTAAAATACTAAATAGATAATTTAGTAATAACTTCGCTTCCTGTATAACAAGTTCACATACTCATTAGATTGCATAGAGTCGTAGAATTAAAACTCACCTAGAAAATCAATGTCCTAGACTTGTTGAACAAGTCAATGGCGATTGAAATCAGCTGTCAAAATACTTGAAAACGACAAAAACTACCAAAATGAAAAATCATTTTGAACTTGATAGTTTTCTTTCTTTTTTCGGAATTGTCCCACATTTTTGTATAAAGATAGAGAAATAGTAAGTCAAAAAATTATTTTCCCCTCAATATTCAAATTATGAAAACAAGAAATTTCATGATTTTTCCCTTATTTGTGTTGACGTTTGCGCGTCCCTGACGTAGAGGTCACATCGAAGTAAATATATACGATCACGGCAAGAATGTCCCTGAAGAATAAGGCCAATAAGTAATAAAATAAGTGGAAGTGGCAGAGAATATAAGGTTATTTATATATGGATGTTATGAATTGTTCAAAACATGCGAAGCGATTTATTTAAGGAAATTATCAAATATGAGTACTTCGCTTGTTCGTAAAAGTTTGTCAGTGGTTGATCCACAGTTTAATGTAAATTCCAGTGAGTTTTGATCTAGTTGATGAACCATTATCATTAGTTCGTAATTTAACAAGGTGTAACATTCCTTTTGTTGCAGAGAAAAAGAGGAAGAATGAACTTTTTGGGCTAAACTCCGACAATAAGAAAATACTAGCCAAAACTTACAAAAAGGGTGGCAAAAAAGGTAATCAATTCTGCTACAATCTGAATATCAACATTGTTTTTCTATGGAAATTCTGTGGTCTCTCCTACAAAAGATTCTTTTAAAATCGGTTTTCTTGAGCTTATGTTACAATCTTTAGCAAGCATTATACAATAACATATCAACTGTAGAGATGCAAAAAATATACCTCAGCCCACTCATTCTGGCGAGTAACAATCAAGTCACAAATCTGCGAATGTTTAAAAAATACTGATTTCTCAGTATTATCTGTGACATTACCCGCATATTCGTTGTAAATGAGTAATTTAAGAATATACCTTTACAGTTTTACTCATCATGGTTGTTTTGCATTTTAGATTCCAAGGTGAATCTTTTATCCAAAGAAAAGAAGTTAACTGTATCCGAAGCAAAAAAAACCTACAAGTCCAAAGAACAAATTCTGAAGGAGAACTTACGGAAGCTGGAATTAATTAAAACAGCCAGCAAGGTAGAAATAGATGAGAAAACAGTGAAACAGGTAAGAATAAAATACTACAATACATAATCAGTGATTCTTTCATTATATTCTGTATTGAAGTCATTTCTTATTTCAGTTATTTCTATTAAGTACTTTTCTTGGTCTTTCACATTTTGTCTTCAATCGAGGACCGCCTGCCCGGTACTGACGATGCCCAATAGGCTGAAACAGCTGTCTACCGGTGGCTCTTTAATTGAAATCAATGTGGAAATGATCAGAATGGAACTTATTTATTTATCTTTTGGTTTTCATGGAATTATTTTCCAGCAGCTTGACTGCATTAACCTTTCTCGATTATATATATATCTGTCAATTTAATGGAAAACAAGTGCTTTGCACTTATCCCAAATCACTTTGTTCACTCCATGTATTTGTATTATTTATATATTTTCACAGTGAATAGTTATTATTAAATGGTAGGTTTTGGTAAATGCTTGCTGGAAAACAACTACTTTCCTGGCCAATACTACGCTAGATATTGAATTATGTCCGACAGATATTTATGCAAAATACCTCACAGAGGTTAGTCTCACAGAACAAATTTATTGCATGATGTGTTCTTAATAACAGACCAGTGGAAGCTACAATTGAAAAAAAGTTTGAGAACTGTATTGTTATGTGGTGGAATTGGCCGATACTTGATTAAAATCCTTGGTAACTCATTCAAGTAAAATTGTGAGATTTTTAATATACGGTTTTCCAAACCAGTAATATTGTTGATACTACTGGTTACGTTAGTCATGCTTTCAAATGTACCAACATTTGAAGGAATTACCTGTATAATTATCATCTGAAACATTGTTTGTGTCCTTAAGAAGTTATTCCTATTTTTATGTCTTTAATTTTTGAAATGTTCTCAAACTTTGATTCAAATAATGTTAGGCATAAGTCTTTTCGTGATATCTTTTTTCCCAGTTTTTGTTCAAGTTGGTATTACCTCCTTTTCCAATTTTTGATACCGCTTTGGTTGAGTTTTGTTACCTTTATTAAGGGTGGTCAAATGCATTGGCTTTTGAGGGTTACGGAAAAACACATTTTTGCATTCAGCAAAGAATGTTTTATATGTTCAGATGATGTGGTGCTGCAGGTTTTTCCGGGTTTTCCTGCAGCTGAAAAAGCAAATGCGCCACTGGAATCAATGAAGTCGCCCCGGAGCGCCAATTAATTTTTATTGTTGTTTTTATTTTATTTTTATCGTTGTTTTTATATATTGTTAGTACATAAACCACGTATATTCAAATATCATGTTTACCTATGTATATAATTATATCTTTGAAGTTGATATGAATCTTAAGAAAAACTTTCATTCTCCTTTATATTAAAATAACCCCAATCAATAACTTTATTGTTAATACTGGACATCCAATTAGTTGAAAGAATGTATCAGGAATTCAAGGAATGATATCAACAAAATATTGCAAACTGTATTTTTTCGTCATTATTTGTATTTCTATCAACATGTTCATCCTTACAGTACCTGATATCTTTTTATAAAATTCTGAGTCATTTGCGATTTTTTCTAGATAATTGAAAGGGCAGTTACCAGAAGACCGCTAACGAATACTCCTGCCAAAGAAAAGGACCAGGGAACAGTATTTACAGAAGAAGACTTCAAGAAATTTGAGGAGGAGTATTTCGACGAATAATGCTTGTTTCTGATAAAACTTGCGGACTTGCACAACTGCTAGTCAGTTCTGTAGTGTTACTTTATTTATTTTTTCTGTTGATGATTCTGCCTGTATTACCTGTTGAAGACATCTATTTCCAGAAGTATACTCCGACTACAATCATACTGCTGGTATGCGGTACTTTTGGTTTGTTTTTCATTGGAAGTCTATCTTTCTTAACACTTTTTGTTATGTATAAACATCGCTCTAAACATAAATCACAAGAATAATCAATTATTTTCCTTATGCTAAATTTAGTAAGGTCCTCTTCCCATGCCAGCTCCCCACCAAGGCCTGCAAAAAAACAATAATTTATCATAAGTTGTAGCTTAAGATAAATAGTATACGTTACTACGCTATCTTAAACGGCTAAAGAATAGTTTTGATTGTATTAAAGAAGTATATTGCGGGTAATGATATGCAAGAAGTAATAAATAACTATTTAATGTAATGAATGAAAAACACTTTTGTCTAATTTCCAGTAGTTATTTTATTTTTACGACCGGTTTNAATGGGATAAAACGCAAAACCGGTCGTAAAAATAAAATAACTAGTGGAAATGAGACAAGTGTTTTTCATTTATTTCATCAAAGTGATCATGAGTTTCCACAAAATGAAAACTTATCAATTACACAGAATACACGACTGTTTTCACGGAATCTTGAAGGATTTTATAACAACCGATGTTACTAAAACCAACGTTATTACACCATTTTTCAAAAATCTACACCTCAGGATTTGATCTCCACAAACTTATTACACCAGTTTAATAGCCCTAAACCATTCAGAAAGAGCTTAGCTTTGTAACAACTTAGTACCCTAAATCTGAATGTTAATGTGATGGATATGTGAGTCAGGGCCTTCTTATCTCTCAACAAACTGAAAAATCAGTTGCTGAGAAGATATTTTCCCATTCAGTACTGTTACTTTTCAAAACATTCAAAATGTAACTTTTTAATTCATAATTTTTTGGTTTCATTTTTGAAAAAGTACAAACAATGACAGTAACGTTAGTTACAAATAAAAGTGACATAAAAACAGCAATTTTTAATTTTTCAAAATGCCTCCTCTTTCTTTTTTTATCAAGTGAAATATGACCTATTACGTGAAAAAAATTGCCTATTACTCTATTACACGACAATAGATTTTTATAATCCACTAGCCAAAGCCAATATGATTTAAGTTGGACGAAGATCGTCTTCTGTTCAATATTTTCCACCTCAGCTGGAAGAGCTATCCAGTCAATGAAGGTATTAAAAAGCTCTTATAAGGGCCACAAGAGAACTACATGTTTATAACAGTTCTCAAATGAAGTACCAGAGATTAGATCAAATTAGATACTTACATTTGTCGGTACTGAACGGATCTTTCAGAGTTTACAAAAGCGCGCCCCCTCGTTACTCTTGCGACCCTCGTCGATGCCAGCAACTCTCTGCTGATTTTGTTGTAACCTGTAGGTCCAGTAGGTTGCGCTCCGCATGTTTCTAACGCGACGAAATCGTCGACGTGAAGAGACGGCGGCCTCGAAGTATTTGGAGGTCTCGACCTGAATAGGTCCGGTCTCTGAGGTACAGTTCGCGCGAAACCTCTCGCTCTCATAGGAGTAACTATAACAAAGGATATAATATACTCTTTGAAAATCAACCGATAATTTTAGCAAGTATATACCACTAACGAAACTTACCGAAGGGTTTTTTCATTTTATCCTCGTCTTCTAGTCTTTTCTCCTTATCATCGAGACCATCGGTTCTTGATATCCTACACAATTTTTCGACTTCTCTGACTAAATTATATTCAGGTCTGAGGTTTTGTCGACAAATTTCTATAATATCACACTGTACCTGAAATATAAATGCAGAAACTGGTTAAAGCTGGAAAGCAGCCATAAACAAATACAGAAAGCTTAACATTTGGTTGAGAACGTTAGTCATATTATATTGATACTTCAATTGGAAATTCGCAATATCACTTGTTCTACTACGAAACCTGCCTCGCCCTTGGCTACCGGTCTATTATTGTCGTCCAAATAAGCATTACTTCCACCAGCAATACTGTCACAAAAGACGTTTAGATAAATTTTATGACCAAATAACGAATATTATATTTCGTCAAAATTTCAATTCACAATCTCATGTCGACATTAGTTTTTCCTAGAGTTTTGCAGCGCCACCTTGCGGCAATAGGCTGATAAGGCGGCTTATGTCAAGTAAAACCGAAAAATGAAAATTCATTAGGTTAAGGTTATTTTGAGGTCAAGAAATGGAACTTAAATGTAAAATTCAAAATTATGAATGGGGCAAAAAAGGGAAGCAAAGTAAAGTAGCTACTTTATATAAGAATGTTAACGAAGAATTTACTATAAACGAAAACACACCATATGCTGAACTATGGATGGGAACTCATGTGAATGCACCCTCGGAAATAAAGAAAACTGGCGAAACACTAGCCTCTTATATATCCAATCACCCTGACTCATTAGGCAAAGAAGTCGCCGAATCATTCAAAAACGAACTACCATTTCTATTCAAAGTATTGTCTGTTAATAAGGCCCTGTCGATTCAAGCACATCCATCCAAAGAACACGCCGAAGAATTGCATTCCAAATATCCCGACATTTATAGGGATCCCAACCACAAGCCCGAACTGGCAATTGCGTTGACGCCATTCGAAGCATTGTGTGGATTCAGGCCAGTTTCCGAAATTAGAACCTTTGTTAAAAATATTCCTGAACTAGGGAAAATTGTAAGTTGTTCAGATGTGTGTGATGATGTCGAATTTTTAAAGAAAGCTTTCAGGTGAGTACACGATTGGGACAAAGGTCATTACTGAATATACGTACATGATGATTTGTTGTCAAAGGAAAAAATAATATAGAGAGAGAGACTATATCTTTGTCACTTACAAAAGGGGAATCAGGGATTAGCTATTTGAAGTGGTATTTTCTTTACTCAAACACCATCAAAAAAATCTTTAATATTCCTCATATTACCAAAACAGTATTTTTTCCATATCATATCCTTAGAAAAAATATAGTTTCTGATCAAATTCTTTTTCGTTTTGTTTTTTATAGTTTTCTAATCTGTTTTTTTCTCGGTTACCAATATGTTCCTTTTGATTATTATTAAATTACATCAACTTTGAATCCACCCAAAAAAAGATAAAATCATAGTTTTCCGATTTTCGCTGAATATTTGGGATAATAGCAAGGTTTCAAGTTTCTTGTTTGTATCATCTCATGTGTCATTTTACTGTAAAATGTGATGATATTCTAATCGAGAGACTTTTTGTAAAATGTTTGGAACTTTATGTTTTTCAAATAATGTCATATTGTGAGTTTCTCTTCATTCAATCGTTGCTCTATCTTTCATAATGTCTGAGATCTCGGTGGTAGTTCTTCTGCTTTAAGACAGTGAAAAAACAATGAGCAAAACCTTGACGTCGATCGAACTTGACGCTAATCAAATGTATGTAGCCCTCGAAATTTGAACATTCAGCTTATTCAGTAGTATATTTAATGAATATATTTTGCAGGGCCGTACTAACTTGCGACAAACAAATAATCGTGGAAACAATGTCCTCCCTACTGAAAAAATTCAAGGACTTGGATAAACCAAAAAGAGAGGAATACATGGCAGATCTTGTTGAACGCCTCCATTCCCAGTTCCCAAATGACAGCGGCATATTGATGGTCTATTTTCTTAACTACCTGAACCTCTGCCCATCCGAGGGGATTTATTTAGGGGCCAATGAACCGCATGCCTACCTCTCTGGGGACTGTATCGAAAATATGGCTTGCTCCGATAATGTAGTCCGTGCAGGGCTCACACCCAAATTAGTTGACGTGGACACCTTGTGTTGCATGCTCAATTACAAAGGTGAGAGACCGGAAGATAAAATTTTCAAACCGATCCAGGAAGATGATCATACTAGATTATATAAACCTCCAGTAAAGGACTTTGCCGTAGCGCAAATCAATGTTCCAAGTTCTTTGGGGCAATATCGAAGCATAAAAAGGAAGAGCGCCAGTATTCTTATAGTCATAGAAGGTCAAGCAAAGTTCACTACTGGGGAGTTGAAACCGGGAACTAGTTTATTCTTGGCTGCTAATGAAGAGTTGGAGATTTTGGAAGTGAATGAGAATTTGTTAATTTATCAAGCTTTTGCCAATATATTTTGAAAAAATTATATCAACATACTGATAGGCAATTTATAACATGTTTTATTTCTACCTCGGACCTGTGTTCCTCAGGGATCAGTTCGTTAAAAAAAAAAAAGACTTGGACATGTCTTGCGGAACAAATAATACATTAAGCAAAGCTGTGGAATGATTAAAAATCCGACCCGAAGGACCAAACTTCAATTCTCATCAATTATAGATAGCTTTAAAGGGGCTGCCTATACAACTAATATGTACTTACGTTTTCTGAATCAGTTTCACCATCGACTGCTGGAATGGCAAGCCAGTAATTGGCCGTCAATCTTTCGTCGCAGGCGTCAGACGAACTGAATATTGTTCTACGAGAGAACTGGATGAGCAAACTTTCTGGTACTGGAAGAACGGTGTCTACGCAAGTGTCCTTCATCTCTTTGTTGGTATCTGAAGAATCTCCGTCAAGCAATTTGAGAAGTGAGGTGAGATCTTCCAAAAAATTTTCAAAGGTGTTGTCTTCCTCAACGACTGCCTGGGAAATCATAGAAAAAAAATAGTCATTTTGTATAATCGGTTATTGAATTCAGGATCCAGAGAAATACAATACAATCTATCAATGAAGGTTTTGAGAATATCCTCTGAAATGTCGATATACACACATCGGAAAAGTCTAGGGATATTTTTAAAAATGGCAATAATTTTTTTTTAGATCGCTTTAGGGAAGAAAAAGTTGACGGGTGATTATTAAACGAATGTAACTTACAACAAAATTTATAGTGTACCAATTTAATCGAAATTAAACGACCTCATGCATTTATTTTTATGATATTTAGTATGTTATAAAAATATCCCTAGACTTTTCCGATGTGTGTGTGTGTGTGTGTGTGTATATATATAAATGTTACGCACGTTTTTTATTTGCACACTATAATAATAATCGATGACGAATATGGAATAGCTTGTATTTGGACAGTGATATGAGGCACCTCATTAACAAACAGTTGCTTCTTGGAATAACTAATTTTACATTCACAACATGACTAAGCGACTTGTTCTGCCAATTGTACTCTGTACGTAAATATGGCCAATAAATACTACTATTACTACACTTTCTCTCTTCAAAGAAATATAGACTTTCTTACCTTCAAGATGGTCTCGAGCGACAAAAGCGGATGATTTTCCGGCTTGCCATCCGTCCGCCACCCAATAAGCTTTTTCAATTCCAAAACGGACAAAGTCATTTTCCTTGGTGTGTACAGCAACGACTCCTCTGCTACATCAGTCGTAACGCATACCCGAAGGAACTCAACCAAAATGTTCAAAGTCGACAAACACTCTGCAATACTTTTTGAAAAATTGTTAGCCAACTTCTCCAACAGCACCAGAAACGCATCATTCTTCTTCAGCAGGTGTTCCTTCAAGTGATAAAACCCATAATCATGCTCTGTCAGCATAAGAAGGGTCCGGAATATAGGCAGGCACGTCACGAAGGAGTTATCTGTCGTCAGGTGTTCCCAAATCATGTGTATGAACATAAGGAGGTGCTCTTTGACTGGCAGAGCGTTTGCCAAATATTCTTCCGAGGTTATCCCGGTGTTCTGTGACAGCGTTATTTCCACGTCGCAGAAACTTTGTATGATGCTCAGAACGCACTCCTGAGACTGAATGTGGCTGTTCGAGGTGCTCTCGTTCTTCAGAACCTGTGAAAAGGCTTGTATCAGAGATACGTACCTCTCCTCGGTCTTTAGAGTAACCGTGCTGTTGGTGTGCATTAAGTGGAGAACCGCGCACTTGATGGTGTTGTGCGTCACTAAACAGGCGAGGAAATTCAACAGCCTAGCGATGTGCGCGTTGCAAGGTCCCATCTTGACGTCTTCCTTCGGGATGAGCGCGTCATAGACGTTGTCCAAAACTCCCCGGGCGATCATCAGAGCTGAATTTGCCGAGAGATCGGAGATCTGGACACACACGCGCCGTAGAAGGTTCAGCAACTGCGGCTGCGTCGATATACAGAGCTTGTTGACCATGTCTTGGATGATAGCGCTGTGCGGGTGCAAGTGGGCCGACCAAAGCTTACGCAGGTTAATCACCCACGATACTTCTTCCGCGGTATGTTCGTCTCTAGTTTGTATGGGCAAGGGTAGCGGTAACAGCTCCGAAAACACCAGCAAACCGGAGAGAAACGTGTGAGGAGAGAAAGTGACGAACTTGATCACCTCCCCGCACATCTGCGTCCACAGAGCCTTAGTCAGCGAGTCCTTCTCGCTGATTTGCTCCGAGACGGGCTGGGTGTACACGAGCAACGCTTCCACTATGCAAGCGCTTACTTCCTGAGCCAATCCGTATCCTGCACACGACCGCGGGAAGCAGCTGAGCAGGTTGTGCGTTTGCAAGAAAACCGATATCGCCGTGAGATCCTTGAAGTTCGTGTTCTGACATTGAATGGCGTACGCAAGCATCTGCTTCAGCAGCAGGACGGCTGGATGAATTACCTGCAACAAGCACCAACCCTGCTGCGAAACGAAAAAGGAAGAATGTAAGCTTGGCTGCTCAAAATGATCACAGATCTTCTGCAGCACTTTCGATAGGATCGTCGTACCCTCCAGAGAGAACAACTGCAGGATAACGTGCTTGTACTTTAGCTCCACAAAATTCGAGATGGGATTGTCTGAAGAAGATGGCTGGTGCTTGGAAATTCCAAGATGCTGGATGATCCTCAGGGCCGTTATCGCGGTGGACATGGTGTAAGGCAGGTTCTCCACGCTTTTGTCCACGGCCTCGACGAAGAGCGATATGTCGTCGTACGCGAACTTAGTGACGTTTTCCAAAGGTGCTAGATACAAACGCAGTTCGCTCAGCTTCAAGCATACGCTGTCCTCAAACACGTCCTGCTGATTGACTAGGTGCAGTAGCACCTTGGATTGTTTCTCTAGGATCGGAATGTTGGATACGGTAGCTACAGCCAGTAGCACCAAGTCCACGATGTACGGTATCCCAACCGAGTCTTTCAAGCGCCCCACGAACGTTTCGGTCTTCTCCTTCGCGAGGACGGGTTCCAAAAATTGCAGGAGGCAGCGGATGTTGTCTTCCAGCCCCAGGGTCTCGGCGCAGGATACTTTCCCGAAGTGCGAGAATGTCAAACAGAGCAAGCCATGTAGGTGGTCAATAATTTCAGGTGCATCACAATCCAGGTTGTGAAGTTTACCATTCGCAGTGAGAAACTCGACGTGGTAAAGCGCCTGCAGCTTGTAAGCGATTTTGAGTCCTAGCTGGTGCGATTTGAGGACGAACTCCGCTGCGCTGTACTGCATCTCCTCATCGGTTCGTAGTAGACACTTTAGCAAGACGGTGATGGTTTCTACATTCTCGGAAAGGTATTCCAGCCCTTCGGACTTATCCAACAAGATGGATATGATTTCGAATATAGGCGTCTTGATCAGCGGCAGGTTCATTGTACTGGGGTAGTTCAGCAGGAGGACGAAACACTGGAGAAGGTTGAACATCTTGAAATACACGACCAGCACGTTGTAAGAATAGTTTCTCATAATTTCGAACTGCGAAGACACTGGCAAGAACCTGTAGGCGTTGAACAGGGTGTCAATTTCTGTCAAAATTCCTATTCTTTTCAGAAAATATATTCACTAGATGATTGGGAAATCGTTTTATATAAGACAGATATTAATATTTCGAATTTTAATTATCATGATTGTCAAATGATCCGATGAATAAATATTGAGTATGATTAAGGTAAAATAATTAATTTCCAACTCTTTTAGAGAGAAAAAAGAATTATTACTCTGAAAGATAACGCCAAAAATAAATCAAAGAAAATGTGGAAAAACTTAGAAATAGTCATTGCAAATGATAGTGATTTAGCTAGGTAACTCTTACCTCTCACATTTCGACATTTGTGAATAAACTTCACAAACATTATCCAGAATTATTACCTAATAAAATTGAATTATTAGTTATATATTCCACTCGTCCACTGCTTTCTTTAAACTTCGAAACCAAATAAAAAATATGATATGTCCAGAAAATGACGAGAATTTTGAAATTTCACGGGTTGGGAGTACCCGATTTTTTTATTACGTACATGCCCCTGAACTGTGGCAATACCTCAGCCTCCTTGTCCGCTAGACACGGCACCGTGTGACTTTTCCTATTTCCAAAAATGAAGAAAATTTTAAAGGACATTAAAAGCGCATAGCTAAAGGCTATAATACCAAAGATCAAGTTTGAGAGGTATTTCGAGGATTGAAATCCCTTCATCAATTGTACAATTCAGCTACTTATATAAACACAAAGCAAAATTATAAAACTATAGGCACTACAAACCTCTTCGGCTGCGACAGCACAAATGGGCCTGCTCGACAATAGTTCAGCACCTCGTTCAAAGACTTCGTTATCAGGTTTATCTCCTCGGCGGATATATCGTGTGACACATCACGCAGCTTGATCAGGATCGAGTGCATCTTGTGCAGAATCTCGTATAGGTTCAGCTTCTTCAAGATGGAAGTCAGAGCAAACTTAACCCGAGCAAGTGGCTGCTGTAGCATGAACCCCACCAATACTTTGTATCCATTAGTGTGTGGTACCGGCGTAGAATCGTTAAAACCATTCTGACAGATTGAGTCATCGATTCCGCCTAGGAGGAATTTCTCTATGGCGAACTTGTGCTGCAGGTAAGTGTCCAACGCTTTGAGAATCATCAACTTGATAGACAGCGCCATGAACTCCTGGTCGTAAAGGTTCAGTAAGGCGTTGGGAACGTTGAAGTCATTTTGCCAGAGCAGCCTGACAAAATCGATGCTGTTGCAACACCAATCGGCCAACCGGACGCCGCACTTAATGTGACGTGTCTTGTACGCTGGCTGGTCTTGGATGAGGGCCATTTCATAGCTCAGAGCAACTTTGAGCCAGTCCACAAGAGTCTCTACAATGAAGAGCACTTGCTCAGTCAGCTCTTTGTCTTGTGCACTGAGGCTCTGAGGATTCATGGACTTCGTATCGACATACAACTTGGCGATAGAGCAGAAAATCGCGGAAGAACCTATCATGGGCGTAACCTTTTCGCAGAGGTGTATAAACTCCTCCTTGATCTCGGTGTTGAGCTTGTGGAAGGTGCCGAGGACGTACTTGGTGATACTCGACTTGAAGTAGTCATCGGCTATGCCGATGGCAGTTTTTAAACAGTCGTCGATGACGATGGAGTTGTTTTTGATGGTGAAGCTCTTTGCCTTAGGGTATTTTGATAGTGGGGTGGTTCCAGGAACGAACAGCTTTATTATATCGTCATTGTTCGTGTAAGTGCTGTAGTCGTACTCCAAGTCCTGGTAGTGATCCCCGTCGTCCAGGATATCCTCGTCGCTAAGGATCGGCTCAAACTCCTCTACGCCCATCGGCGCAGGTTCCTCAGCAGGAGGTGTATGCGCGTCTTTAGCCTCACGTCCCGGGCTTTTAGCGCACTCCTCAACCTTCTCACCCCTAGCCGCTTCCTGAACCTCGCTTTGAACCGCCTCCACGGTTTCCACGTTTTCGACGACTTGTGGAGTGTGCGGACGCTTCGGAGATTGCATCGGAGGCGTCCTAGGGCGCTTGCGCTCTTCTCTGTCTTCTCCGCGGTTGTACGACCTCCTGTAATTGTCGTCGTGTTTGTAGCAGCGCTCGCTTCTGTCTCTGTCGCGGTCATGACCGCGGTCTCTGTCTCTGTCGCTCCAGTCGTGGTCGTTACGTTCGGATCGGTAATCTTGTCTGTCGTGGTCGGGCCAGTCGGCTTCTTCTTTGGCGTCCGCTTCACGGTATTCGCGCTGCTGTCTCTCTTGGTCCCTACTCTCTGATCTGGAATATCTTTTTTCTCGGCTGCTTCGGGCAGGTTCGGATCTGACATGGTCTCGTTCGGGAGCTGCGGGTTTCTGTATATATTCATTTTTGATAATTAGACAAATGCGTTACATACAAATACATACTACTCATGATTCAGATATAAAATGCATAGATAAAACATAAAAGTATATATTATGTACAAATTAGATATTGAATGAAAGTCATTTTTCAAGATTGTAAAAATTTCCCCTGCACTCTTTTCAGTAGTACGAAGGTGAATTGAAAACGTACTTCAGTGCATGTGTTCCAAAATTGTATTCCGAATCGCAAATTACAATTTTTTACTCAACATGATGTGATCATCAAAGTTCATAATACGTTAAACCGCTACAAATTTAGTTGTTTCCTCATTTTCCATAAGATCTCCAAGTAATATATTGAACGCTTCTCATTCAAAACAAAGCATATTTGTCTTTTAATGTCGAGTGTTTGCATCACACCAGTCTTGACTTGCATTAGATCAGAGAGAATTTTTGATTCGAGTCTTTCAGTTTCTCTATCGTAGAGGTGTAGCAAATGACTAGGCAGCATCTTATTTGAAAAATTGAACAGAAATAGTTGTGATCGACACTATTGAATCAGATCCAGTGAACATAACCGCAGAAGTGCCTCAAGTATCGATTTTAGGTCTTTGTTATTTCCATAAATGATGTAATACACTGTTGTACTTTCCCAAGCACAATGACAGTATATGCTTATGTCACAAATCAGCTGATAGCTTAAGATAACTCAAAATCATCCCTGGAAACGTCCAGTGCAATTCCAACATACTCAAAACCCAATAAATACTATTTATACCAAAAAGATGTTAGTGACTATTACAGTCCACTGATACGTCGTCTACAACACAGGTAAATCAAAGCAAATAGGTCTCTGAAAGCAAAAGCCTTGGTTTGATCATAGATCATTGAATATTTAAACTTGTCTATCATGAGAGACACCAGTGTTCCTCTTTGTGGATGATTTCAGCTTGAGCCCACTTGACATTATGTTGATGAGTCCAAACATGCTCTGCTATTCCGGATTTGCTGGTTTCTCCTCGCTGTGTATGTTTCTTGTGCTCAGCAATGCGAACTTTCAATGGCCTCTTAGTTTCACCGATGTATGATTCTCTGCACTCGCAGGGTATCCGGTAAATGCAATTATTGGAATCGCAGTCTGCGTTTGGTGGCATGGTTTTCGTGAGGCTGCTACGGATAGTGTTCCCAGATCTGAAGCAGGTCCTGATGTTGTACTTGGACCCAATCCTTTTTATCCTTTCCGATAATCCTCTGATGTAAGGGAAGTACAAGTACTGGTTGTGGCGGCTTCTCTTCCTTGTGTAGCTCTTGCTATCTTCTAGCTAAAGCCTGTTCTACCATCACCCTGGAGTAACCATTCCGTTGATGGTCATTTTTGATGATGTCTAGTTCCTTTTCAAGACCTTCCTTTGTATTACAGAGCCCGAAGACACGGTCTAGTAGAGTTTTGATGATTCCTCTCTTAGTTGAATGATGGTGGTTGGATTTCTGGTTCAGATACTGTCCTGTGTGAGTGAGTTTTCGGTATACAGATGTTTCCCACTTAGTGTCGGTCCTCTTCGCCAATACGTCTAAAAAAGACAATTCGTTTGTCGACTTCCTTCTCCATTGTATAAATTGCCACTGTTAAATAGGTATAAAACAAAGGTGAGAGCGTCATGATGGTATTAATAATACTTTTTAAAGAGCCACCGTAGATGAAAAGTTTCAGTAAAATAAATCCTGATAATATTTCTCTAGGGTATAATAGGTCCTTTCAATCATGAGATTTTTCACATCTTTTCTAAACGTATCTTCATTTTGATTTTCTCGCAAGGTATCAGGAAGGTGATTGAACCTTTTCATGCCCCCAAAAATTGATGTGTCATGAATCAAGGTTGGATTATAACAGTCGAATTTAATCTATGTTTGATTTTCTGGAAAAATTGAAGTCATATGAATGAAATATTTTGAGACAGAGAATGATAATGAACAAAATAAAACTCTATTACCTAATTCTGCTCCCTACAAACGTTTTGGTTGAACCAACTTGTATTTGGTGGGTAGAGATGGTAATTATATCCATTTATATTTATGTTACTATAATCTAGAACAAACCTGATATGTTGATTCTCTGCTACGATCTCTCTCCGTATCTGAAACCCTTGGCCTTGGTTTGGTCTCCCACTCAGTTTCTGGGGTGTGATGATAACTCCTGGGATCTTTTGGAACATCAGGATAGTACTCAAAATCTTGAACGTATTGTTCTGGTGGATTATAAGCCTGATAGGGAGCAGCAGGTTGGGCACTGTATTCTACGGGAACAGTCGGAATAGCTTCTGGTTGCCATTCTGTTTCAACGGGCGGTACCACGCATATCTGCTGAGCATCAGCAATGGTGTTTGGTTGGGTTGGGAGGGACGGGTTCGCTACTGGCTGTACTATCGGTTCGGTTATGTTGTTTGTCAGGGTACCATATACTGCCAGAGTAATTGTGGTATACCATCCTGAAAAGGCCAACAGTATTTTTTCAGATGGGCATTAAATTAAACTTCTTGTACGATTCTACTTGAAGCACGAAGACTACTTTTCAAATATTTTGATACAATTATGAATATCAACCAAAAGTTTTCAATTTTTTATACAACTTACCTTTGAGAACCAATCCATCTGTTGGTATTTTTCGTACAGTTTCTTCAGGTGTGCATTCGAGGTTGATGCAGCCATTCTGATCATATTTGAATCCCCCTAAAGTTTCGAAAGAACTTGCACCTGGTTTACCTAAATCATTCACGAAAAACTCAATATCGAACTGACTTGGATTTGTTGCTCCTAATCGAACACCTCCTGGGAAATCCGCCTGAACTCTAGCTCCTAGAGGTATTATTCTTACCTCAGTTACATAAACAGGTTTGGGAAACTGCACCAAGTCTAAATTAATTTCCTAAAAAGAAACGACTCAAAATGTTGTCATTAAAATTTCATTTTTTGTCTTACCTCGGTATTATCGTGAGCAAATGTATCGAAAAACAATAGTTCAATAATTTGTTCGGACATGGTTATATACTTTATGTCGAGTTTGAACCATTTATACGATTAACACTCCACAAAACTTACCAAAAAAATAAATACAAACATTTGATTTGTTGATTTTCAGGTTAAGTTAGGTTATGATGTTTTATTTTTATCATTCGGTAGAGTGCGACATCTAGATTTTCACTTCGAACGTTAAACTCGAGGACAATATACCCAAAAGGGACAGTACTGACAACCTAAACTAAACTATCAGTTTTTTATTTATTTCAATTTTAATTCACACAAATATAAATGTGAGCTCTCTATAATCGATAGATAATCGATAGATTAAAAAACAATTGTTGAGCAGGATAGTGATAGGGAACGGGCGTGCCGATAACGTCCAGTTACAAAGACTGTGCATAAATTACATATGCTATTGCGGGGCTCCTTTTTGTGTATTGAATGTACATCTTTGAAGGAACTTATATGTGTAAACTGAACGTACCAAACAAATGAGAAGTGAAGTCATCTTTTATTCACTCCTCTATCCAGGCCAATCGGTTCAGATTACCACATAAAGGGGGTCATGTATGTGAAAAATCCAAAAGGCATTCCGAAGAGGGGGTAAACTTAAAATTTTTTGATGTTTTAAAATAAACAAAAAATGACTGAAAAAACTGTTGTAAGTGAGAGGACGACTAAATACCAGACTACTCAAATGTGCTGATAACTCTGAGTTAACAATCGAAAAAAGTATAGGTTACATAATTTCTTATTATCTCTTTCAGTATAACATATGACAAACTCCACAGAAATCTCATACAAATATTATTGCATAAGTATGAAAACATATTATGAAATATGTTTATACTGGTTCTCTCTTTCATTTAAAAAAAAATCGAACGTATAATGAATGCTATTATTGTAGTAAAAATATTGACTAACATCACTAGATGAATGCTGATAAAGTGATACATTTCATTCAGCGATTGGTCTATTGAGGAAACTGAATTGAATGTGTACATTTCTTTGAAGATCATATAATTTATGAGTCAGGCAAATTTGAAAAGAAAGTGTCAGAGATATTGGAAAAAAAATTTCTACTGTATAAAATATTTTTTGTACACATTTTATTCTATAAAACTAGGTGTCTAAATGAATGAAATAGATATGTCCTGAACCTCATTATTTTTGTCCAAATCCCCTCTATTACCCCTGATAAAAATTAAATTGATGCATCTCCTTCTTGCTATACTCATTTAAAATTCAAACTGGAAATATGGCAGCGTTGGGTATTTTATCATTATTAAGTTGAACTTTCTCTTCCTCGTAACTTGTGTCAAAGAATGTGGGATTGTTATCTTTTTGTCTCTTTGTACCTATTTTAATTTCATCCCAAACCGGAACAAAAGCATTCAAATGGAGATGAACCTCCATGACCCTAACCTTGACCGTTTAAAATACAGTCAGAAGTCCCGTAACCCAGTCGTGGAGACTAGTTGAAGATTAGAGCTGTTGTGACAGTGACCTAATAAAGAGTATGGTGGCATAGTTCCATAACCGAATTTCTGAACAAAATTTGCTTATTGGTGTCGTGAAAAATGTTTGCGAGAGTATCTTTCTACCCCACTTTGGCCTACAATGTGATTATGGAGAAAATTTCCACTAGACAGTGGTATAATAGAATAGATGACACCGTAATTTTGGGGGCCCTGCCCTTCCCAAGTATCACGAAGGAGCTCGTAGAGAAGGAACGCGTTAAAGGTGTTGTATCAATGAACGAAGACTATGAACTGTTTTTGTCAAACGATGAAAAGTCGTGGAAAACGGTTGGAGTGGAATTTCTGCAGTTAGCAACGACAGACATATTCGCTACCCCATGTCAGAGTAAGCTCGTTGAAGGTGTACGATTCATAGACAAGTTTGTGAGTCATGGTAGAGTCGAAGATGGAATATCGTCACATTCAGTTTATATACACTGCAAAGCAGGCAGGACCCGTAGCGCAACCTTGGTTGGATGTTATTTGATGCATCGTTACAAGTGGTCTCCCGAAGAAGCAGTCAACTATATGCGAGAGAAGAGACCTCATATTTTGATTCACAGTAAGCAATGGGAGGCATTGCATGTGTTTCATGCTCAAAATTTAGCCAAAGTAAACTTGCAATGATGTATTATAAAAAATGTTAACGATTTCGATTAGGATGAATTATTTATACCCAAATAAATTATTTATATTTTCATACTGACTAGTTATTTCTAATGTAACAATATTCCCAGATGAATTAACATTGTGGTATGTCACGATATTTGATCAATTCTTTTTACAAAACCTTGACTAGGTAGCTGTAAATAATATGAGTGTTATCTTTAATGGCCATTTTCTACCTATTGACACTAATTGCTACTCATTACATGGCCTGAATTAATTTCTCATACTTCAGCAAGGTTGCCAGGGTGTAAAAAATTCATCAATTTTCATGGATTTTCTATGGTATACGGGAATTGGTAATTGAAAATATGTGTAGATTTCTTTAATTTGAAAATTGGTCACGCAATTTGATACATAACTCGATTTTGAATTGGAGAGAGTAAACATTTCATGAATAATCATTGTTCCCATTACCATAACTGAAATACTGTTCTCTATGCGCGTTTCATTAACCAAGTCGGTGTGTTCAGTAGATGAAGGTGACTACCAAGTGGTTGGTGAAACGCGACTCGAGATTATTATCAGTTCTGGTGTTTGTGGAGAGTGCCTCAGTTCTGGTGTTTGGGTATAGTGCTTGTTTTGAATTTATTCTATGCCAGAGGTTCTAAGTCAAACTTTCATTTCAGATCACTAACTTTTGATTTCTCTAATTATCCTCCATATATCATGCAAATTTAGACTTTCCTGAGCTCTATCATGCTCAACTGCAATTTTCAACTCATATCAAATGTCGATATTATGCACTATGTCGATATTATGTTACTGCATCATGAGGAAATTAGAAATAGAATTACTGGAAATCGAATTAGCTAATAATAAAAAATGAAAAAAAATAGACTTTTGAAGCTAACTAGTTGGCAGTGATGTCTTTTGTTCTTCTGAGGGTTGTATGTTGATGTTGTATGTCATATGTCATTAATTGTCATATTTTTTGGGGTTAACGGAAAAATGAGTAGTTATTTTTTGAACATTAATGATTGGATATAAATACAGAAAACTGTGGAAATGACAGGACCTCTAAACGTTCTTGTAGGTCAGCAGTATATAATGATTTTCTTTTTGGTATATCACTAAGAATTTGGAAAAAGTTTCTTGTTAAATTTTTCTAGGTGGCGGAACGGGCTTCATAGGATCTGTTTTATGCAATACACTAAAAACAAAAGGATATGGCGTTACAGTTATTTCTCGTATGCCAGGACCTCAGAGAATCTCTTGGAATGAATTACTATCCAAAGGACTTCCCAAAGATACAACTGCCGTGGTCAACTTGGCAGGTCAAAACGTAATGGACATTTCAAGGCGGTGGACGCATGGCTTCAAACAAAATGTTTACAATTCGAGAATCAACACTACAAAGAGTCTGGCAAAATTGATTGACGAAGCCAGTGTTAAGGTATTTTCTTAGACCTTGGATCTTGTTTGACAAAGAATTATATTAGGCATTTTAAAGGTATAAATGAATTGAAAGTTTTCTTCAACGTCAACATAAAATGTTGTTATATATCAGTGTTTGAAGTACTTTTTTGGAGAACCATAAGGTTTTATTTTGGGACTTCTGCTATATTTAATTGATGTCACTGATTTTCCAAGAAGTTTCATTATGTTTGCCAATGATACTTCATTGGTTAATGATGTGAATATCGTATCTACACTTGATTTGGCTCATAAGACTGGTTTTTAAATCAAAAACCATTGTATGAAACAGGTGAATTCAGTAAAATATGTAAGACTTTGGGCTTATTCATACACCAAACTTTTAACTTTCAGTATATGTTTAAAGATTTAAAACTGATAGATTGGCTTATTATGAAAGATATGTTTGGTGTATGAACCAATCATTTATTTTACCAAAGATTGCAAATGGAATCAACATATCAATGAAATATGCACTATCTTCTAATTTGGTACAAGTATTGAAGCGTAAATTTGAAATGTCTGTTTTGTATTTATATTTTTACTCATCCCAGACTTGTTCTATATTATCATTTAAAATGATGAAAAACCAATCAGTATTTATTCATTTCAGCCATCGGTCTTTGTCACAATGTCAGGTGTTGGTGCTTACAAACCTGATACCTCGAAAGAATACGATGAGAATTCGTGCATAGTCGAATTTGACTTCTTCTCGAAGTTGTGCAAAGACTGGGAGCGAGCAGCAGCGTTGAAACTGGAATCACAAAGTTCATGCAGAATAGTTACTATTCGGAGCGGAGTAGTTCTTGGTAGAACTGGGGGAATGATCAGGCAACTGTACCTGCCGTTTTATTTGGGACTGGGTGGGCCTGTAGGTGATGGCTCACAATACATGCCGTGGATTCACATCGACGATCTTATCAGTTTAATTATTTTTGCAATTCAGAAACCCACTGTTGAAGGAGTATTGAATGGAGTAGCTCCTTATCCATGTACCAATAAAGATTTTGCAAATGTAAGTAGATAATGATTTTTTGCAGGGAATAATTTAATATGCTTTTTCAAAAAAACTGTGAAATACATTTTGGAGTTCTGTTGGAATTCTGTTTTTTTTTTTAGTCAACATAATTATAGTTATACTATTGAAAGAGTAAAGTTATAGTAATAGAAAATAAAAATTTAGAAATGAAATCTCGAAACATTTATCTCTCCCAAGATACTTATACAGTAGTTTCTAATAAATGCATACTGGAAAACAACTACTTTCTCTGATCACGCTTGACTTGAGAGTTCATACCTCAAAACCGATCTGTAGGTGGTATAATTGCATAAATGTATGTCAGATATAATTCAATGTCCAGTGTGGTATTAACCGGGGAAGTAATTGTTATAATCAATACTGTTTCTAATATATAATGCAGTTTATATTTTATGGGATTCAAATAGTGGCTTACATGCCTCGTTAAATTTAGCTTCACACATATATCTGAACTGAATGTCTACTGCTTATTGGGGCATATCGAAATAAAAATTTTAATTGTTATTACTAAATCGTAATTGTAATTGTTGATACTAATGTGCAATGAATGTATTATTATTAATTTTCTTTTTGAACAATAAATCATCATTTGCAGGAATATACTGAAATTTCACTGTCACATAATTCGGTAAGGCCTTCTTTTTGTAAAATTCTGTTATTTTTCAGGCCTTCGGGAAAGCTTTACATCGCCCAGCCTTCATTCCTCTTCCAAGCTTTGTACTTAATTTATTGTTGAACAAAGAAAGAGCTGTTATGATGACCGAAGGGCAGAAAGTGCTTCCTAAAAAAACTATTGCCGCAGGTTTCAAGTATCAGTATCCAGACATAGAAAGGGCATGTAAAGAGATAGTCAGTCATTAGCGTCTTTGAAACGAGCAATGTTTTCTTGGAGTTCAATATCGATAGAAAAGTGAGTATACATTTATGGAGAGTTCGCCAACTGATATTACTTGTTGAGAACACTTTCCAACGTTCATAATCATTAGATTTTGATTTGTACTAGACATCTGTAACTTGACACTATTTTCCGAATATATTGAAGTATACAAGCAAGTATACAAACTTTGGTTTCATATGAATTTTATTATAAGGAGTACCAAGTCTTCCAGTGCTCTGACACAAGGTGTATAGTTTGAGATCAATTGCTGATTATGTGACAATATTCTCGTAAGTAATTTGTCAGGTCTATAATAAATATTGCTAGTAATGGAGATTTAAAGTTTCTGACGTTGAAATATGTGGAAAAGAAGAAAAATTATTGTTATACGATATGAAATTAGAGCTGTAACTGTGTAACTGAAACTAACTAGGATTGATTTATCCATTAGAAGGATTCCAATTTGATAATTTGTATATCTGAAGAGAAAGAAGGGTTGCAACATGACATTACTCCAACAAAGAACCGACATTATTTCACACGCCGGTAACTAGGCCGGGGCAGACACTACATTTGCCTAGTAGCAATACATTGTGTTGATACATCAGTAAGGGATAAGTGCAAAAAAACTATATTTTACACGCCAGTAACTAGGCCGGGGCAGATAGTGCATTTGCCTGATGGCGATTCATTTTGTTGATATATCATTTAGGGAGTAAATGCCAAAAAAAAACTGTATTTCACACGCTGGTAATTAGGCCGAGGCAGACACTACATTTGTCTTATGACGATTCATTTTGTTGATAAATTATTTAAGAAGTAAGTGCCAAAAAAACTTTATTTCACACGCCGGTAACTAGGCCGGCAAGACAGTAGATTTGCCTAATAGCGATTCATTTTGTTGATAAATCGGTAAGGGAGTGAGTGCCAAAAAAGTGAAAATATAAAATAACCTCTCTTGGCTGGAATGTCAACAAACAAATCAAGCTTTGATAGATGCAGAAAAAATGTAATGAAATAATATTTATCGAGATATGGAGCTACAAAAACACATGACAGTTAAACGGACTAAACTTTTGAAACAACCTTGTAGTTATCTGGGATAATCTTGGTGAATTTTTCAAATTTGATTTTCAGGTATGCCGCGATGTCTGGAAATGAATGTAGAGATGCCTAAAGTTATGCCTGCACAAACTTGGGTCTGATGTACAATTATATTCAGATTATTTTAAAAATATATTTTGTGTTTGCAGTTGAGCATGATCTAGTAGACAGCACCCAACTACAGCAAAAAAAAAATAGAAAATGTTACACAGTTGCATTTGTATTAACTCACTTGTGTTGTTGTGCAGGCTTTATGTAAAAAAACTCTCGTATGATCAGCCGAACACAAGTGCCGTACATAATTTTTCCAAGTCCAAAAAAAAACATGAAACACGTTTTCGCATTTTGAACCAAATGCATGAATACTGGATGAGAAACTAGATATCCCACTAGGCAAATAAACAAAATAGCATTCTTATCACAGAACAGGAAACCAGCACTAATCTATGAAGGTATATCCGTCTAAAACTTTTGCAATTGCTTGTCCACTTCTTACTTCAAAAAACATCCGTTTGAAAACCCATTCATATGAAACTCTGGTGATACGCTGTTCAAACGAATGGGATTTTTAAATATACTATGGCTTATGAAGTGCCCTTGGTTGGTTGTATACAAATTTGAATTAGTTGAAACAGAAGGAATCAGCATTACCTATTCGAAATACAGGGTGATTCTGCTACAATCATTGGAAAAGTTTGTTGTAAGTTTTTGACCCTCAACATCACACCTGGCAGAAGTATTGTAACACCTCTGCATGTGTGAGGTTTAAGTCTAAGATGGTGAAGACAAAAAAGCACATTATTAAAAATCTGTCATATATTGAACTATTAAAATACACTTGGTCGAATATAATACATAATATCTACATAAATATGATTTCCTATAAACTTCACAAACACAACGTATCTTATAAAATTTCATTAAATTATATCTCTTCTGCGTTTCTATTCAATAAATATTCAACTTTGTTACCAATCAACTTGCACTATCAAAAGCCTCTTTAAATATTTAACAATTATTATTTCTCTATACGGTTGCCTTATAATATTCAAACACCTACACAACATTCGATACAAATACTATGTGTGAACTAGTATAACGGTTGGGCTGGAACATGACCAAGGGTGAACCGCCACGTTGATACTGAATTACCCTGTGTGTACACTACTGCTGGAAATGTTTATGATGAGCACTTTTGCTTTTTTGAGCTTTTTGGGAGAATCAAATGTTGGTAGTACTGAGATCTAGTGGTACTTACCACATCAAAAAGCTGAGGCAAGCGACCACCCTTGATTATTAAATATACCTTGTGCAGTATATGTACGAAATGTTCTCAATATCTTTGTTTGATCTTCGTCCTGAAGATGATCACTTGGTGATCGAAATACGTGTCGAGGTCTTGAAATAACTGTTTGATGTTGGGAAAAAACTCTAGTAATTTTCTCAATATCTTCTAATAAAATTTGATATGACACACTGAATCAAAACGAATGTTCGATTTTTATATTTTGAATGTTGAGAAATATACACTCACCGGCATAAGAAGTGCATTAGAGCTAAACTTTATGAAAAACCAGATTTTAAGGAATGGAGTATATCTTAATGTTTTATAGGATTGGTTATCACAAAAAATCATCAAAAGGTGTTAAGCCACAAAAAACTATGTCCTCGGTTGTATCAAAATTTTCAAATGAACTTGAAATCAGTGAATTTTCAACTCGTGTCTGATAATATAGTGTCAGATATTCATGTTTAATGCCTGGTGCACGTTCATATCAAGAAAATCTTACTGTAACTTTGCACGAGCAAGGGTGGACATAAATGAATATAACTAGAGAACTAGGTTTTATCCAGAGCACGGTGTCTAGGGTAATCTTGAGGTTCACAGAACGTGGTCATGTTCACCAAATACAAGTAAGCGGTTGGAGATGATGGACAATACAACGTCAGGATCGAACACTGGCTGTGCAAAACGCTCTGGAGGAAAAAGAATTGCATGGATGGATTGGCCACCTAACTCACCAGAAATGATTCACCTGACAGCTTAGAACAGCTTCGAAATGCTATTTTGGAAGAGTGGAACAATGTTCCTCAGCATGTTATCAACAACCCTATCGATAGCATGGGTAGAAAAATGGAAGTCTGCAGAAGGGCTAGTGGAGACAATACATCCTATTGAAGAAAGTAGAAAAACTATTTTGTACACTTTTCTTTCATTTGGAATTTTGGTCAGTTTCTTTCGTTTCATGGATTCTTATAATTATTTCATTTTTGTCTTCTCAAATGAATTATTGAAAGATACAAATATCGTTTGTTTGTTACATTTATCGAATCCTATATTCATCATCCTATTAATAATTTGAAAAACTGATGCACTTATTACACCTGTTAGTGTATTTTCTTCTGGTACGAAAATTTGGATGGAGAGTTTACTATATTATTGATATTCAAATATCATCAGTCATGTCAAAGTGCTTGGGAATGAATCCATTGATAGTTTCAATTCGAGTTGAGAACCTTCCGTCTATATGCAACACATATGTGAATATGTACAGTAATTATATATTTGGGACGATGCAAAGATATTACCTCTGATCAACTGGAAAAATCCACATATAGATAGATATAAATGAAAGAGATGGAAGTTCTATGTCGATTACTGAAACTTCGGATATATGGACTTAACTTGGTGTTTTCTGGCGCTCATGTATTCAAAACGTATTCGTCTGTGATTCAAATACATTCTGTCTGGCGTTGAAACGATTACGTCACATCAACTATGATTTGAAACGCATTCATCATGATTCAAAACTAGTGTGGGGTTGGTTTTGAAACGGAATTTGACATTACGTTACGTCAGTTGTCAGTTTCTGCCTTATTTTGACCCTAATAGTTAATAAAGTGCTGAAAACTTTTCATTGTAAGGATGTACAAAATAAAGGTGGGAAATTATTACATTCACAAATACAATTATAATTGAGTTAGAGTAAATTGAAAAGATTGTTTTTATTATTGAATTTGACATGTGACACAAATTGAATCATTCCATTCTGGCGAATCGTTTTTGAATACACGCCCGAATACGATGAAACGCCAGAAAACACGTCAGAAAACGTTTGTAGTTCTCAAATAGTGGACGGGTAGTAGACGCTTCAATTTTTTATTTTTGCTGTGAATTGTAACGGAGTTTTTCAACTGAAACTCGAAAAATCATAAAAATCTTTAAGACAAAGTTTCTTGTTGAATGTACAGCTTTCAGGAGAAAACCATTGATTTTTTTGCCTGTATGGTTTGATATCTTTTGTTATAAGTTGATATCATCGTATATGCATTGATTATTTTTCCAGTTGTTCAGACAATCATGCGGCAGGATACATTTCAGTACAAATAGTAGCTTCAAAAGCTAAAACATTCTACAAAAATTGCTATTTATATTTACAGACTAGTGACTATATACAGATCAAATGCTGTATACCAATTTGAAGACGGTAATTATTGATTAAAAACAATATATATGACAGGAGAAATATTTACGAAATCTTTCTTCACCCTCACACTAAATATTACTAATCATTTTAATGATATACTGAAAATAAAGAACTCTTGATTTCCAACTCTTTATGGAATGGCCACGTTTATATGAAGCGCGACACCTTACAAAATGATATTAATAGTGGAAAGTACTTTCTGACATTTACATATTAATCTACTTCCCGTTTTCTCTGTCAACTTACATTCAATTGATACCAAACGTGAAGCGTCCATTTGTTAACATTTCAATGATGCCATACAAGAAAGGACGTCTCTAAGAAGCGAGAAATATATGACAGTTATAACTGATAAGGGACACAGAAAAGTTTAGAACAATGTGATGGTTTGAAACAAAAGACACTGAATAAATAGGTAATGCGCACCTATCAAAACGTAGTAACTCGTAGAAAAGCCGTACAAACTTGAAACATGTTGAAAAGAGAAATAAAAATTTCTATGTATTTTACCACTTTTATTTGTAACTAACGTTACTGCAGTTTCGTCCTATACGGACATTCTCAAACTTATACAATAATAAATATGATACAATAAACTAGTACAGCTAAACAAGCCACATACTACTTTAAACTAAAAATGAGAGTTTATTGTATAAGTTTGAGAATGTCCGAATAGGACGAAACTGCAGTAACGTTAGTTACAAATGAAAGTGGTAAAAAACATAGAAATTTGCATTTCTCTTTTCATTATGATATCCTACCACGTATTAACGGCTACATCTATCAATTTATTGAAAAAAACATGTTCATATTTCAGACTAAATGTATGTTTTGATAATTAGTACAACCTTATTACAACCTATTTTTTCATATTATAATACTGATACATTTCACTTGCTTAAGATAATCCACCGCACAGATATCTTTGAACAGTATTGGATTTATTGGGATGGTTTTTGTTTTGTATGAGATGATAATAGCTATCTTTGATAAATAAATTGATATCTAAAACTCATGGATAATCGTAGTACATGTTTTTACTTTTTATTTGACTATGGGGTATATTTCTGGAAACACCGTACAATTTTATGATTACGTCCTATTATTATTGTACAAAAACAACGTTTTAAAATATCTGAAGATGTAAGGTAATTTTTGCTTCTAGTAAAATTCTCTTCGATGTCCTATTAAATGAAGTGAATGTTTTTTTCACTAGTCTACAATTAATTCCTGAAATTATATAATTCAGAACAAATTTTCGCATTTTTTTTATCATTCTAAATCGAAATTCAATATTTAAAACTTCCGGACTCGAAGACTTTCTAAACTTTTCTATTGTTTTACCGAATACGGTATTATTAACGAGTTTACGTTAACTAACTCTACAAATTGTGAGTGAAATATCAAAAGATAAAATGAAGAATGTGGTTAATATGATCGGAAAATGCTTTTTTGTAATTTCCTAAGACTAAGGGTGTATCACTATTCTCCTTCAACGTGTAGCGGTATCGGCATATTGTTTCAGCAAGTCTTGAATACATATAAGGTGATGGGAACACAAATTTGTATAGCTACTTCATGAACGTTAGTCTCTGATGTTCTGCGAATATTTTTCAAGTCGTCTCTGTTTCCAATACAGCCATCAGTTTCGTAACGTCACAGGTTTACAGCACTGTTGATGATATTCGGCAAATTTTCTAACCTATCACTATTATACAGTTTATACACATTATGATTGACGCACGAAGAAGGTTGGTACTGAAGAAAACTACAATTTGGGATTAATCTTATTCCACGAGTTTCATTTTTACCTACTAAAAATTCGAATTAGTAATGTTGAAGTCTCTGTTGGTTAGTGAATAGATGGATGTTGAAAATGATGTATATTCCAATGTAGTGACCACATTTCGATTTTAGAAGCATATGCTTTCAATGTATAATATTTTTACTCAATGTTTCGTAATACTCACATTTTAGTATTGCTCGTATTCTAGAGTAGTTTATGAAAATAACAAACAGGACTGCCAAATTATAATAAAGTGCAATCCTTCCGGTTAAAAATCCAATTAACATTCTCAAAAGTGGGGTAAATCAATATAAAATAGAAAGATGAAAATTAACCTACGAAACTGGATAACTTCAACTTCAATGATCCTACTATCAGCCCGAAATGAAATAAATTTCATGCATGAGGTGATATATATTCATTGAAGGGATTATAAATTTAAATGAATCGCAAGGACGAAACTTTATGCTTAGTGGGACATGCATGCCCTTAATTCTTTATCCGTTAGCGACATTTTGATACAATATTCAAATATTCAATCGGGCAGCCCTGTTACTCCTTCTGTACCAAAAATAAATTATATACAAATGTGAAACATGATGACATTTTGGATATAATGTATTTAAAAATTGTGCGTTTCAAATGATAGTACAGCTAGGTTGATTATCCACCCTACGGTACTCGCGAGATATTCTACCATTTTTTGGAAATTTGTCTACTTGGGGTTTTTCAATGTAAAATTCGACAAACCGAAGATACCAAAAGAAAACATATATACCCCCAAAATATTTGAAGAAATTTCGATTTTGTCGAATTATCATTGGCCAATAACCTATTAGGTATTTATATAAAAGTTTGTGCTCAAATTTGGCAGTGGGTGAGTTATATATTTTGAAGATGCCTCAATACATTCACTAAAACGAAGCAGATTTTTCACGTCTTTCAAAGGGAATAAAAATAAATGCTTTTAATCCTCATCTTTTTGAAAGGGGTTCAATAATGCTCTGCCACCCACTTTTCCAGTTGCATCCAGAGATACATACAAAGTGTCGTTAATACATCAAGAATTCAGGAACTGAGTTATCAGTATTTTTCCTCGAAATAATTCAGGTTTCGTATTTTTTTTCAAATAGTGTATGAGAGTCCAGTATAATTTGACAGTGACTAAAAAATATTGAGGTAAAAGATGTCGTTGTTACTACTAGCCCAGTTATTCGGTGATAATTTAATTTTTGTAGGTGAAATGATTTTTAAAATGGATCGAGTAGTTTTTGAGTCAATCCATTATAAACAAACATACAAAAAATATTGTTTCCTTCATAATATTAATTTAGTCTAGCTGTATTACGAGAAAAATTGATACGCATTTTGTAAAATATTTTTCTGTGTTATCAATGATTCATTCAAATAGATAATCTGAAAATGTAGTTAAATCGATAGTATCATCACCAGAATCAATATTTTGGTCCCCAACGAAACGAGATCTGTATACGCCACTGACTCAAGGTCAAATATTATTTGGGATTTATTGAATTACAATAATATTTAAAAAAAATCCATATGATAACGCCATATATTCATTCCTGAATTTTCCTGACATACTTACGAAATACTTTATATCGCGAGCTGGGGGAGCGAACAGTTTGCCTTAAACTAACCAGAAAATAAAACTATACCTGTTATTACCTAAATACATAATAAACCTGTGTCAAGAATACAACGAAGAGCAAGGGTTGTGTATAGCCGGCGCCGAATCCTCGACAGGCCGAACATCGGCCAACTTCCACTTGTCCCTTACCTCCTCTACCTTTTCGAATACCCTCAACAAGTTCAGACCAGCCAGCGAAGTGATATCCTTCTCGCTCCAAGCAGGATCAGCCAGCAGCTCCGCGAGCAAATGCGGATACCTAGAAACGTCTTCCAACCCGCTAGGTGTCATATTGATCCCATCGTAGCCCGCTCCGATCCCCACGTGGTCGACTCCGGCGACTCCCCTAATATGGTTAATGTGGTCGATTACGTCTTGTAAAGTGGCAGTTTCGTTACACGCTACGTGGTAGCTGTAAAAGTTCACCATGACTACTCCTCCGTTGAGCGCTATCAATCGCAGCACGTCGTCTGGCACGTTCCTAGACGAGTTGCAGAGGGAAAAGGCGCTCGAATGGGAAAAAATGACGGGAGCGTGCGATACGTTCAGCGCAGCCCTGGCAGTGTTCATTGAAGTGTGGGAGAGGTCGACGATCATCCCTAGCCTGTTCATTTCCTTGATGACGCTCTTCCCGAACTCTGATAGACCTTCTTGAACTTGCGTGTTGGTGCCTGTGGCCCAGGGGGTGTCGCAGGAGTGTGTTATGGTTAAGTATCTAGCTCCCAAGTTGTAGAAAGTTCTGAGGACGGCCAGGGAGTTCCCCAGAGCGTGTCCACCCTCCACCCCGATGAGAGAGGCTATGCGGCCCTCTTTGTGGACGGCGCGGATCTCCTGCGTGGTTTTGACCAAGGCGAAGTCTTTCGTGTTGTATTCAACCAGTCTCGTGATGACGTCGATCTGCTCTAGGGTGACCTGCACGGCGTCCAGGTGTTGGGCTTTGCAAGGCACGTAGGCTGACCAAAATTGAGCGCCCAGAAGACCAGCTTTCAACCTGTAACAGAGCGGGTTTTTCTTCTCTTCAGACTTCGTGTAATTGAAGTTACTCCTAAGAATATGCTACGGTCAGAATTTCAGATGAGTTCAAGGGCAAACCGCCACTGGAACTGCAGCTAAGAATTATATATGGAAATGGGTTGATATTGGAAGAATATACCTGATTCCTCAATACGGAAAAAACTTTATATAAAGGAACCGTATGAAAAAAAGTGAACTGTTCTAACACAGAAGGGATCATTTCAGAATACTTTTCAGTGATACTTTCTGGACATAGTCAATTCAGGGGAACAGGAGCATATATATGGAGGAAACGTAACAAAGGGGCTAAGACAGATTGTCATATTCGAAAAAGAATTGAAAAACACACAACAGGTGAACTATACAAACTGGAATGGGCGTTATGGAAATATGGAAAGAAAAATGCATTAAGCGGAAGCAATATAAAACTTTTTTACCTAGGTAAATCAGTGTGAGACCACCGACTCTTTGCCCAGGGTTCCTCCTCGCTTATGGCACTGAGGTTTAGGTTCTTCAACTTGTTGTGGACAAACTTCCGGATGTTCCAAGGTAGGTCGTTGTGACCGTCGATCAGCGGGGCGTCTTTCAGGAGTTTTTTGACGATCTCGAGGCGCTCTTCGGGAGTTTGCGGCTGCGTCTTCTGGTTCAGAGCGAGGGGGAGCCCCAGTCCTGCTGCCAGCGTCGCGACGACGACGCATACCACGATGCAGACGCACCACGGTCCGCGGAACGAAGCTTTCACCGAATCGGTTTCCGAGCTGCAGGAACAGGAGTCGAAAGAACTGTGGTAATCGTAGGGGTGGTAGTAGTCACGAACACCGTTGTAGTATTGAGGCACGTTGAAGGATGTTTCTCGGATTTGGAGCTCATGAGGGCATGGTTGAATCTGAAACAAGGAAGATGATTGAAGTTTATACTCTTAACGGATTTATGAACATTAGTAATGTCTGTCATCGCGCTTTTTGCTAATCTAGTTAGCTTTATCAGGAGGTAATCAAAACTCATTCCTTACAACTGACTTTGAGTCTTGGAATGGGATCTTCATCGCCCTCATAGATCCCATTTTATATTTTTCAACTTCTAGTCTTTTAAATGCGTCAATTGAATCTCAAACATTTCTCATCCAATCTGTTTCCGTTCTACAAGACATGTTGAGCAACACTAGACTTATGTTGTACATGAAACCGAATCTGGTGTATCGTGATTCTTGAAGCAATAGTCTGCTTAGTTTGACCAATATATTATTTAGTTGCTCAACACTACTCAGTTGCACAAGCAGTATTATAGGATACTTTCAGTTTTACTTTTTGTTAAATTCAGATCAATTCATTGGTCATACGGTTCATATGGAAGAACCATAAACTTTAAACTTTGAGTCTTAATCTGGAAGATTTCTTTTTTAGAAATCCAGGGATGGTAGTTCTTGGTTGTTAATTTTCAAGCGTACACTTTATTGGGAATAGATACAAAGTTCTCTTTTTCACTTTTATTTGCGTCAAAAATGACAAATACATCATACATATAACTGATGCAAATTCGTGGGAAATAGTTCAGGTAATTCACCTCTTTTACTGCTTATTTCAAATCTGCTCATGAATAGATGGCATGGAATGAAACAACGGAAACAACGGATCATCCAGTGTTAAAGAAATGTAATACTCAGAAAAACCATTACGTTCTAACAGGACCCGTAAAACGTCGATTTCCTCTTCTTGCATTGTCTTCACTCATAAACAAAAGACCGTCGATGACACTCGAACGTGAAATAGATGTGAATCGAGAAAGCCATGTTCGTCATTCATACAAGGTGGTAGTGGGGTAGTCTGTTTTCATTAGAAGGGATTATCGGTTTAGGAGCAATAAGTACTTAGTAAAGCAGATACTGACGGAAAATTACCCGGCTACTAATTACGAACTCTACCATTTAATCCCGTGTAAGTTTCTCATGACACAATTTCGAATGGTTTTGAAAGACGACATTTAGTTGTGGAGATGGAAACGGAAATTTCATTCAATCGTTTTCTCGAAGTGAATTTTGTGAGACTCTTGGATTGATAATAGAGGAATTTGCGACGTTTTTCGAACATTTACACCTTCAGATGGTAAAACTAGCTTTGGCATCTGTCTTTTGAAGAACTGAAAAAGTCGTGGATAAATAATGCGGGAGTACATTAATTGGAATTGATTGGATGAAAAAATGAAAATAAAGACCAACATGGTGAGATAAATTACTTGATTGCAATGATTTTCTCATATTCTAGTATATGCATATTATTGGTAGATGTCGACTGTTTTGTAGTTCACATGAATGAACTATTAGTAATGTAGAATAAAGAATAGGTTAGGTTTGAATAACAGTACAGGATAAACACTTTTTATTTTTTCGTTGTCAGTTGTCATTGTTATGTTTTCAGGTGTAAGATAACATGTATTGTGAGCAATTGAATATAGTGTTAAAAGCAAGAAACGAGTGTCACTTTATTAGAAAGAAACCATTACGATCAATAACAAAACTTGAAAAACCAGTGAACACAAAACTCTTTAATTGTAGGTATTTTGAAACCGAACAACCTCAGAATGAAATAAATTGAATCAACAAATTGGAATATTCAAAGAAACCAAAATCAATTGTTTTGCACATGATTAATGCAATTGCAATCACAATGATTACAATAATGACGACTCTGATAGAGTGTTTGTTTATTCTAGCTCATTAGTCATCTACAAAAAATACGATAATCAAAACTTGAAATAATATTGAAACCTATGGACTTTTGTTAAGCACTCTTTTCCCTAGCTTGGTAGCTTGAAATCTGTTTTTCCAGAATAAATTTTAAAACAATAGAGCACTTTCATTAATTCCATAATTTATCAACTCCAATCAAGGGTTCTGTCTATGTAAATACAGAACTCATCATATATCAAACGATATACGATATAAGTTTACGAGTTCTGTGATTCATAAAATCATAACTTATATCATAAGATATCAGTTTACGACTTTTGTGACTCATAAGTTGTATCATACGATATAAGTTTACGAGTTCTGCGACTTATAAACTCATAACTTTTGTCATATGATATGGGTTTACGAGTTCTGTGACATAAACTTATAAATCATGTCATACGATATAAGTTCACAAGTTCTGTGACTCTCTTCTCTTCTTCTTCTCTTTTTTTTATGGTCTTTGCTTCCCTTCGGCGCAGGAGACCAGTTCTGTTACTCATGAACTCATAACTTATGTCATACGATATGAGTTTACGAGTTCTGTGACTCATAAACTTATAACTTATGTCATATGGAAGTTTTTGAGTTCTGTGACTCATAAAATTAACTTATGTCATAATGTAAACACCTAAGAGCAAAAACCACAGAAAACTGTATTTAGTGTTATTATTCGCCCACCTTTCAGTAAAAAATAACTTAGATGCAATCTACTTCAAGTCCTGAATACACAAGGCTGATATCAAGGAAGGACTTTACTGTTTGCCCTAAGGTAATATTTTCCAACACACGATACAATCTCGAAAAGCATAATCCGAGGAGATTGGAGGTGTTTCTAAATAATTTTCAATTATTAGGAAACCCCAGGAATAACACAATATCCTGGCGTGCTGTGAATTTTAGGCGTCCCGGTTAATAGCGTCGTTATTTCGTTAGAGGATTTATCCGCCTTCTAAGATGCTATCTCCTGTTTAATATTCAAAATATACCGACATCCTTTATCATTTTACTCCTATGGAGTCAAATTTATTAGCAAATCCATTTTTTTCCATCTCGTCATATTTTAATTACCATAAACCTAAATAGAACACTGAGATCCTGAAATTATCCTGATCACGATGAACCCGTTGCATGGGTGGATATACCACAAACTTATACTCGTACACAGCACGGTTACAACCGTGTTAAATATCACCGATGACATTCTCACTTAAATTGGTAAAGGTCGGTTGATTTGCCTTCATTAAGGCATTCGACACCATGGATCGTAATGTTTTGGCGAATATTTATCAGAACGTTGTCAGTCCGTAGTATTTGATCCATTAAAGTTTGACACCATAAAAGTGGGCTTCGGTGTTTCCCAAGTATCAATCTTGGGCCCTCTTCTTTTTCCATCTATATTTCAGATTTTCACGAGTATCTTGAATATTACACCATTTACCGTAATTCCGGTGGCATACTTAGATTTTTCTCTCTGCAACTTTTAAAATTGAGCAAGATTTGAGATCTCACTTCATAATATTTCCACCTCGCGTTCAACCCATCGAGATTAGTGGCGATGCTTATCGGAAGTGAATCAAAACGTGAACTTTCACGTGACCTTCACTTTTTTAATTTAGATTACTGGTTGTGGAGTTATTAATATTGGAATTTGACTTGCAAGAAATGAATATTTGAGTGTTTATTTCAAGGGCATACAATTATTGCATTTTATTTCAACCACGTGATTGTTCATCTTATACATAAAAAATCATTTGAACAATGTTCAAGATGTTTTACTTAAACTTCCTTATAGTGATACAGTTTGTTTTCGGAATTAATTTTGGAACATTTTGGAACTTTTCGGTAATGCTGTCCCTAAGTTTCCGTATTGTTGCGTAATATAAACCTAAGATTTGAAATAGTATAGTATTAGGAAAATCAAAAGGAGTCAAATCCGGTGAACGAGTAGGCCATTCCAACGGACCGTGCTTACCCACAATCCTTACAGGCCTTGAGAAATTGTGGGTTGCCCCATTGTGTTGGAAAACAAACTGGATATTCGAATTCATTTTGATTGTTGGTCACAATTTTTTGAATTCGTGGGTGAGTGAGATTTTGAAGTTTGATTGTGACCTTCTCGAAAAATATGTGGGTTTATGTCCCAATAGTATCGCACATTTAGTTGGTTGACATTTCCGTTAAAGAAAAAAGTGCATTCGTCACTAAAACAAATGGTTTTTATGCAATTGTTTGTGAATTTCCAATCAATTCTCTGCCTCATGAAAATTATGGCCGGCCTCGACGTAAATGAAGATTGCTTCTGTTTTTTTTTATCTAAAAGAGCGCAAACAATTTTTGAAGATTTAAACGAAATAAAATGAAGCGGTTTCCCGTTATAGACAATAATATTGATACGACATCAATGAGCAAATTACAACAAAAACAATACTTTTTACTCGAGGCGAAGTTTGACTTGCCTGTACTGATAATTTTTCTTNAACAGCTGAAAATAGTAATATGAACTACGTGTGGATCGGGGCAAGATGATCGGGGCATAATGGGATACTATAATCAAGTGACTGAAAAAGGTAAAAAACAAATAAATAAACCTGGAAAAAAGACTGCAAAGAAGATTAAATAGACAACTGACAAGGAAAACCTGCAGAAAAAACGTCAAACCAAAAGGTGCAAAAAAGAAACTGAATCGGAAGATAGTTCATCCCAAGAAGAGGATGATGACTGTGTTTGCATCTATTGTGGGTACTTATACTCAGATTCAACCGAAGGTTGGGTCATCTGCGGCGTGTGCCACGGTTGGGAGCATAATTCATGTGCCGGAGTAGATGAGGAAGATGAAGAGGCACACATTTGTGAACGCTGTCTACCCGATTAAAAAGCGTACTCGTTTTGCCCCACAGCGTTTCCCATTTTACCCCAGTTATGGGGCAAAACGGGAAATTTGCCGAGTTTATTTTTTCATTATTTGCCAATGCTACAACGTTTAATTATAAGAGAGAAATGTATAATAGTTACCTCTTTTGTTAAAGAATGTTATTGAAGAGTTTAATTTTCCTTGTATAACGAGTTTTGTCTTAGCTATCTCATCTTGCCCCAGTCTCCCCTATAAGTTTGAAAATGTCCTTATAGGACGAAACTGCAGTAACGTTAGTTACAATAAAAGTGGTAAAAAGCATAGAAAGTTTCAATTTTATTTTCTTCATTATGATTTCCTACCACATAGTAACGGCTACATCGCATCGATTTATTGAAATTCATTCATAAATTACGATTTTTATGTCACGGAATAAGTTTGACCTTCTTATGTCATCGATGACATCGTAATGACATTCATTCACTTATTTGATGGAATAGTAGAAATCCAAAAACTTTCTTTCCCAAAAAGTATAATTTACTAATGAGAATACTGATTAAGATGTATTCTACAGGTAATAAAGTACCTGAGTAGAGCACTATTAGATCGAATCGAATTCTGATGCAACAGCATCAATATGATGTATGTGGCAATTGTAAATTGGATACCATATTAGCACCCCGTATTCTAGTTTAGATCTCACATAGGCATTAAACAGTGTTATAATCGTATTGATATTCTTGAATTCTCTGGTACTCCTAATGAAGCCCAATATTCGATTCGCTACTGAAATAGCCTGGTCTATGTGGGTAGTGAAAGTGAATTTATAATCAAAAGTGATACAAGATCTGT